ATAAACTTTGTAGAGTACTTAGTCCCGATTTAGGTGATTTTTTGTTTCATATTCGTTGTGTGTGTCACATTTTTAATTTAATTGTGCAAGATGGTATAAAACATATTAAGCATGAAATGAATAGAATTAGGAGTGCACCAATATATATCACTATATCACCAAGTAAGAAACAAGTATTTGAGGAACTTTGTGTGCAATTTGGCAAAGATAGTAAAAAAATTATAAATGATGTAGGCCATAGATGGAATTCAACTTACTTATTATTAATCTAAGTTGAAGTTATTAATTAATTTTGAGATCCACAATTTTTCAACTACACATTTTATCAACTTTTATTAAAATCTACTAAAAATTTAATTTTAATTTCCACTGTACATNACATTTTATCAACTTTTATTAAAATCTACTAAAAATTTAATTTTAATTTCCACTGTACATGGGCTTAATCTGATTTATCTAATGAAAAATAAATATTCGGTTAAAAGAAGAAGAAAAGTAAATATTAAGCAACTTTTAGAAGTCAATTGTCTCGATAGTCACTAAACTTGTGTTTGCATATTTGATTGTTCACTGAAGTTTCATATATTGAGTTTTTGTTACTAAACTTATCAAAATGTTGGACGTTATTTAATGTCATGATACCAATTTTACAACTCTAACGGAATTGGTGACACCGCGAAGGAATTTTTGGTGTATGTTTGTGGCTGCACAAAAACTTTGGTTGTAAGTGATACATGTAGGTTTGCTGTTAATGTAAATTATTATTTTTTATGGGTGTATTTTTGTTAAAATTAGTTATTAGAATTGTCAATATTTTCTTGCCATTTTACTTATCCCTCTTCATCGTTAGATTATCCAAATTAACTTCAACTGGCACAATGCATGAGGTGATAAGAAATGGCTCTACTTAGAATTGAAGTTCTGCAAGTTCCCGCTCATATATTTGTGTCTCTCTTAAAAAACACAGTTCATGAAAAGAATTGTATATTAAAAGATGTCTTGAAACATCTCCTTGTAATATGTTACAAAACTAAATTTTGTTGTAAGTGATATTTGGAACAACGTTCCTAAATTTTCAAGACAATCCGATATCGAATTTACATGTTTAGTGGTCAAAACTCGACCACCTTAAAGTACAGTGAAAAATAAAATTGTCTTTAAAAGTATAGTGGACAATTAAAGACGTTTTCCAAAGTACAGTGAGCAATAAAGACGCATTTCTTACGTGACAATTTGCATAACAGTGTTTAGGTGCCACTTGTACATTTCATTTGTCCTGTCATCGATTCTCGATTTCGTTAAAGAGTTGTGAAATATTAGTAATTAATTTTCAATATTTTGATAAGTTTAGTAATCAAAGCTAGTAAGCACTCGAAAACACAGATATTAATTTAATGATTATTAGGACAATTAACTCCATTTTTAGCAATGACCAATAATTTTTTTATTTTTCAAAGACGATTTTCCCTTTTTCTTTATTTTGTTTACCCGTTAATTTTTTCACGCTTTACAAACCTTAAAAACGCCGAACCGAAGTTTCACTTCCACTGACAGTCCCTCCGGTACGATACCAGGCCATAGCTCATCGGCGGCTGGCCGAATTCCGATATATTCGAATTATCGGCAGATATACTGCAAATTCAATTGGAATTCGCTTTTTATTGACAATCTTGGCGCATAAGGACTTCGAATGAGACAAAAAGTCCCCAGTTCTTCAATATTTGTAAAATTTTCTACGGTAATTCGTGCTTCCTGATTCAGGCAAAAACATACAAATGGCATCTTCCGTTCTGTACAGAGCTCTCTTTGCCCATCGCTTCCTTCAATCTTCTTCTACTCACTTTCACAAACCTAAAATCTTCACATCCATCTTCTCCGTGAGTTTCTCTCTCCCTCTATCTATACTTCCTGGATTTTGTTTTGAATTTTGTCGATATTTTGGTGTCATTCTACGGGATTTTTTAAAATACCATTTTAATTGGGTTTCCTATGTGGGATTTTTGTTTTATGTTGAGAAATTGCTGTCAGAATTTGGATGGACTACTGATTTTTAGCTGGCCATGAGATGACCTTTTCTATACCTATTCTATTCTTAGGATTTACAGAACATATGCGTTTTGATTACTTTTGTATTGGGTAACTGCATGAATGGTTGTTCATATTCCAGCTGTGATGTACATCTGTTTATTATCTGTGATGAAGAGACAACATTTTACACTTTCAGGAGTAAAGAGAGAAAATTTGAATGATTGAGACTGCTTTTGAGTTCTACAATTTGTTTCTGAAAGTAGGTGGACTTAATTTAGACTTTCGAATTGATAGATAGCTTGGTTACCGCACTCAGTGCGGATTTATTCGAACTTGTCTGTGCCCCGTAATGACTTTTGATTAGAAAATGGATTTCCTTTTAATCCAATGAAGATTTGTGAGTTGAAGATAAACTTTGGAAAGTATTTTGCATAATGAAACTGCCCCATTTCAAATGCACTTGATCTATGGTTGGTCAAAGAAACTTGACGACTAACTAACTGTTAATATGTGATGCTATTATCATTTATGGGGTCATTATTCTTGTGCGTATTATACATTATTTTCTTGCTTGAATGCAGAAGAGATCATTTCACTTGTTTTTGGCTCCGTCCCATTTGTCACATAAGGCTTCAGGGTCTGTTTATTGTAGCATGACTTCATCAGCAGTCGCATCACAAGCTTCATTCTCCATGCAGTCCCTGCCCGCCAATGAACCTGTTGTTTCAGTGGATTGGCTCCATGCCAACCTTCGAGAACCTAATCTGAAGGTATGCATTGTACCTTTTGACCTTGTTATCTTTTTATAAACTTGACCGCTCCGAGTTATTTTGTGAAGAAATGCTATGTTCTTTTAATGCATTTTAAGGTATAAGAATCTTAAGACGCCGTATTCAAAGTCTCATCACATACTCCTCTTGTAAAGTGACCATTCATATAAAAAGATTACTTTCCTATGTTATCTCCAAAAAGCTAATAGAAATTTTGTTATATTCATCAAAGTAGAAAGTTTACCTTCTTTATGTGATTATGTGCTAAGTTTAAGCTTGAAGAGTTAGGTTCCGGTAAAAAAGTAAAGTGAATGTAGGAGAATTGGATTTTGACATTACTGATCCCCTCACTGGTACTTGAATCAGTGGCAATTATCCCTCCTCTTTGCTTTGGTCATTCCTGCAAAAGTGCCCCTCAGTGTTCTAAGAAGATCCCGAGCATTGGATATTCCATTTGCAAAATGATAATTTCTTCGTGAACTTTTTTATGTGAGTTGGCCTGGAGATATACTTTTAATATAAAAAAATTGCAAGAAAATGAAGGTAGAGGGAAGAAAACGTGAGTTCATAGATTAATCACATGTATATCAATATCTGTGCAGCCTGTGCTTTTTCCGACTCTTGTTAAATGTTTCCGTTCATTTCCTTGGCATGACGAGTCCCTAAATCTTAAAACTCATGTTAGGTCTTATCTGAGGTAAATGAACAATGGTCTTTTAAAAAGAAAAACATTCTCGTGGTTTCGGAAGAAAATTTACATTTTTTTTTTAACATAAAGGACCTAAAATGCTTATATTGAATTGCATAAGATTCGGTTTCCTTCTAATTTCAGTTTCCAAATTCGCTAGTTATCGTCAAATGGGCCCCCAAAGTTTTATGGCCTTTAGCATAAAAAGCTCTTTTCCTCAGTAATAATGTTTTGGTTTCAAAGTGAAGGTCTTTATCACATCACTTAAATTTGCAACTGTTTCAGGTGTTGGATGCATCCTGGTACATGCCAGATGAGCAAAGAAACCCAGTTCAAGAATATCAGGTGCTTGCCGTTCATATATTTCTTCCTTGTACAGTGGCGTAAATAAAATGTACCTTTATAACTCTACTGTGTAGCACTTGTAATAGTCAAAAGGCACCCATTTGGTGATGTATCAAAAATCTCTCGTGATGACATTTTATGTTCTTTACCGCTACTAATGTTTATTTTTTTCCTCAAATTTTTATTTTGAAGTTATTTTTTTGAACAGGTGGCACATATTCCCGGTGCTCTTTTCTTCGACGTTGATGGCATATCGGATCGAATTAGCAATGTAATATGCTATTTCTTTTTTGTCACATGTTCAGTGTATGGTCATTTTGAGGTCTAGGTATGGTTCCCCAATACACAAAACTCAAGCATCTTTTGGAAGTTTAGTAGCAACTAGGCAACAGCAAATTTTTTAGGGACCAAACATCTTTATTTTTGCAAATTGTTTTATCTAGAGAGTCTAGGAAAACTAATGTCAACATTTCTTAGTCTCTTCACTTTTCATTCACGAGATACGAGACAATTAACCTGTGAAATAATGCAGTAAGTTAGTTGCACTTTGTTAGGAAATCTATATTCAATCGATTGATAGCGTGTATGCATATGTGTGTATACCTATGTGAATATTTGTGCATCCATACTCATAAATAAGCCCATAAAACAACCATTTATAAATGCATATGCATATGCATATGCATGTAAATAATGTATAAATGCTTTTCCTCTTGAATGACGTGTACCAGTTGCCACATATGTTGCCATCGGAAGAAGCATTCGCTGCTGCAGTTTCTGCCCTTGGCATTGAGAATAAGGATGGGCTCGTTGTGTATGATGGAAAGGGAATTTTCAGCGCAGCTCGTGTTTGGTGGTGAGTTTTAATTCAACACAAAATAAATAATATAGAAGTATTAAACTTGTAGATTATCCAGTTATTTGCTAAATATTTAATTTTAATTTGGATCAAACTGGCGCTTAATTCTTTGAAAAATCCAATTCATTTAGATTGATTCTTCCCTCACCTCACGAAGAGATCCTCGGCAAAAATACGTGTATAATTACTACTATTTTACATAACAACCGTGAGATTGTCATCAATTTATATGTTGACAAATAAACGAGCAAAGGTTTTATTGTTGTCAAATAAACTTGTGGAAACAAGTTTCGACAGTCAAAAAAAACTTTATACCCACACAAAATATAACATTTTAACTTCTTTTCGTTCCTTCACATTGTGTTCACTATTGTATACTCACTCCAACAAACAAAAAAATTCATTCTTTATTCAATTTGTCTCAAGAATTGCTTCAATCACAATGGTTCATATAATAGTCAACAACGAGAAATACGAATGAATAGTTCAAAATGATCTAGAGTATTTACTTGCCATTGCTTCTTGTCCTGTTTCCTCTTCTGAATTTCAAGATTTAACGATCGAGTTATAGACAAAGACCAGCATTCGTCACACAACTAGAGCAATCCATTAATGCTTGTAGCTCCAATCACTTGATTTTCCCTTCTGAGTTATGCCATTTTCGGTCAAGTATTCAACAAATTCGTCGATAAGATATGGCCAAGCACCTTCAGGATTATAGTTTGATAATGTAGGATCAATGTTCTGCATATACACAAAAGAACACCTGTCATGAACAGCGACTTACAGAATCCCAACTGATCTTTGTAAGCAAAAACAAAATCATGTATAGTAAGGATACTATGTCAAAATCATCTTCGTTTGTATGCTCACGGGTCCCCAAGGGTGAGAAGGGTGGAATGCTGAAATGTTCACATTTCGATCAAAGAAATTACAGAAGAAATGCAAAAAGAACAAAGACGGTAAAATTTTAGGTGATAAATTTAGAAAAACTGAGGGAATAAAAGACAAGAGAAAGCATGTTCCTGTCCCAAACAAATCTCTTATTCATTCATTTTATGCATCTTAATATACCCTTGCAAACTCCAGTAGCTGGGACCAGGTGTCCTGAGAGATTGTTTTGTTGTGGCGCTCCTGTATCCAAAAATCCAAGAAGGAAAAAGATGTCACGAGTGGAAACAGAAAAATAAAATATCTTTCTCTGATTCTTCATAAATAATTCATGCTATGGGCATGATCAAGCATATGGAATTACATCAAACCACGTGAGAGAGATTCAGCTGAAAACGCAATCCCACACTCTTACAAGAGGAAAAATAACAAGTGTGCTAAAAGATAATGTCGAAAAACAAGGTAGCAATTTGCCACATTAATTTTAGTTTATTTATTTTTTGTGGGTGGGGGAGCAAATTAACTACATTGATTGCAAATTCCCCCAGTCAATATTTTTAAAGAAAGCCTTGAATGATACAAGGTCCCTCAGAATCCTCTCGATATACTTCTTCAATTTATTATCCATTTTCCTGCCACAAACCAAACTATTGAACTTTTATGAAATAATAAGACCATCAGCAACGGAGTTCTTGATTGGATACAAGTACCTGAGATCTCAATTACATGCTAATAAGACTAAATAATGCCAGTTGAATTAATGATCTGTTACTTCTTACAGTTCAATTTTTTTAACTGGTCAATAGCAGATTGAGCGGTACAAAATGATGAGATGGAATTTTTGGACGGTAGAGACAAAATACAATGTGTGTATTGATTGGTTTAAAAGATAAAGAAAAAAAAAGGATTAAGGGAGAGGATCCAAATGCAGTTTGTTATACCTGTAAGAACTGGCACCAGTAATCAACTAATGGCCACTGCTTTTCTGCAAATAGCAACTGCCACATCCCAATTGCTGTATCTAATGCTAAAGACTTCTGACCCTGAAATCAGGATAGAAAATCAGCAACCTGAATGCCATACTAATATATCAGCTGGTAGAATGCGAGTTAAAAGACAATCTGATTCACCCACAATATGAAATTTCAGACGCCTGGTTGAAGATAAAGGGCAAAAAGAAAGTAATGTATTCATCATCATTATGATGGAACATCGGTGACGTGGCTCTCAAATCTCATTATTTCACATAGATAATCACATCACCGATGTTCATCATAATGATAAATAATATTATTCAAAAAGAAAAGGCTTAAAGTATTTAACTCTGCATTGCTTCTCCCTTTTGTCTAAGGGACATTTTACTAAATAGTGGCTGCTTATGAGGAAAGTATAGCGACTATGGGTTTCTAATTCGTGTCAACAATTTTTAGTAACACAGTTAATAAACAAGGCAGCATAAACTGAAGATCGGATAAAATTTTTTTTTTTTTTAAAGTTCAAAATGAAGTTATAAACATTTAAGTAACAAACCTGCTCAAATGCAGCTATTTAATACAGAAATAGAATTCTATTACTTTGTGTTAATGATGCAATTTAATCTAGTTTCTTGAGCTTCCATTCTATCAAAAAGTACATTATCAATAAATTATTACTAGACAACAGCATTTTATTAGAAGGTAACTTCAAACTACCATCAAGCCATAAATTCTGTTTTGTTGCTTTTCAGGGATATCAGTTTCAAACGGTTTGATGCATTCCACAGTTTTCCTATTCAGTCAAAAAAATACAAATAAAAAATTGCAAAATAATTTCAGAAAGAACGTTTATGGTCCAATCCAAGCTGATGAATTTCAACTACATGGAAGGAAGTTCAAATAATCAAACCAAAAACGTTACCTTCTCTTTTGCCCAGCCAAAAGCAAAGTTATAGATCTCTCGGAACTTTTCTGGACAGAATAAATCAAAGAGATAGTTTAATAATAGGAAAAAAAAAGGTCTTCAATGAATCTTCAGATAGGTAATGCCAACTAGGTCAACTAATATTATCCACAAATTTTGAAGTACGAAACAGATCTTTACTAAAACAACCCATTTTACCCATAATTTTGACTTCAAATAACAATGAGAAGGCCCAAGGTGATGGCAGCGATCATTAAGCATACAACATCATCAGTGCAAAATTGCACTGTGCAACATACAAAAAATAAATATAGCACTGCAATCGAGATAAGAGTAACTTCTTAGACCAAGAACAGAGAATTTCATGTCATCACATACGATTTTCTTTAAGTTCAGAACGCATAAATGGTATTCTTTCCCTGAACTTCTCCAGTGATGCTATCCTGCCATTAAAGATATAAACGCCAATAAAATAATGGACAAAATCTCCAATTCAGGATCGCCCAACAAAAGAAACACGATAGACTTGACTCATATTTACCCGAGAGAGAGTAATCCACCAATGAATTCCTTCCTTGAGAATTCACACATAGTAGCCGCCTTCATATGCCATGAGACCACCAACTGCAGATTAAACAAATCAAATCTCAACTAAGATCACATAACAACAATTAACATATTCATAAATGTAAAAACTTTTATTGATTGCCTCATGAATATACATATTCATAGATGTATATATTACATTAAAACTTGTATTGATTGCTTCATGAATTGACCAATAATATTCAGTACCGTATTTTAATGTAATGGCATAGATATATTTACATTTTCTTTCAGGGTACTTTGTTGCTCAAAATTAGGTTTTACATCTTGTAGTAGAAAAAGGAAAAACAATAAATAAATGAAACAATTTAACAGCAATGATATACTGCAAACACGTCAAAACAAAAAAAGAGCTATACAAGAAATCGAACTAGATTTGAATTTCTTGATTTCAAGATATTTTACCCCTTGATGACACAATTCCATCCATCCTACATAATCAAGAAATTAGGCATATTACTAAATTTGAGTACACAATTTAAATGCCATACCATGACTATATCCTGAGGGTCCACCTGCCAAGAGAACAAAGGTATCATGCTATTCAAACAATAGTAATCAGTTAGAGATATGCTAATTTTTTTTTCTCTCAAGTGAGATGAAAGAGTTTCACCCCTCCCCCAAAGAAGACTCGAACCCAGGCCATCAGCCCCGGTCAAGCTTTGCTCTAGCCACTTGAGCTAGGCCATAGCCTTCAGTTAGGGATATGTTTAAAAGACTACAAGCATTATTTGAATAACTGTGTTCATGTCTCATGGGGAAAATACGATACTAGATCCCCATGAGACACTTCAAAGTTTTTCGATTAATGCTTGTGTGATTTTCTTAAAAGTTAAAACATAAATTAGCAATACAATGCATGAGAAAGTATTTATCAAATCCACCTGAAGATCATTGCACAGGCAACTGATTCCTTCAGCCAAAATCATATCAGTGAGTGAATCTGTAATTCATGAAAGCCTATGTAAGTTAAAACTAAAGAGCAAATAATGCTCTGCACGCCCCATTTTTTAGACGTGGGGTGCTAAGTCTTATAGGACATTTGTTCAGAACATGGGAAATAATACATTGGCCGAATGTTCACTGCCATCCAAAAGCCACAAGAATTCTCAAAATGTTTCTTTTTGCTGCTTATTGTGATCACTGTATAAAATCACTTAGTATAGAGTACTTTCACAACAGTTTTCGAGACTAGCACATCAACATAACTTAAAATTTCAGCAATTGATGCTAGATGCAAAGCTACAATAATTCAAGAACCGACAGAAAATGGGTATTTCCAGAAAACAAAAAGACTATACGGTGTCTGACAACATTAGCAAATTCCCTTTATTTTCCAACTTTAGTTTTCGTCACTGCTGAGAGTAAATTAGCATTGTCATTCCAACGGTTGGAAGAAAATAATATAATATCCCATCATAAAACCTCCCTGGCCTATTACTGTAAGTTTAAATCACATGCAATTTGTCAAGTATTAAGATCTTGGCCGGCACTAACATATGTGACAATATCAAATGAAAAGGGAATCCTAGTACTTTTTTGTACCTCAATACTACCACTCTGATTTTCATCCCTATGTTTGAACTGAAAGAAACCTTTCAGTTACTAATGATTACTTGAGGAACTCGTAGTAAAGACAGTGATTACATAAAAGATAATATAAAATCTGTGTTTCACCAATATGATAAAAGAGGCTGAAATTCTAGGAAATGAGTAGTTGATGACGAGAATACAGAGGATTACTAGTATAGACTATGTTTGACAGATAGTCAATGCATGTTCTAATTATCATTCACCATCAAGAATAGTTTGAAAATGAGAAATAAATGAACATGGTAAGAAGCAAGACAAACTTTCTGCAAGCATACAAGAGTTGCATGCACATCAAGACACAGTAAATTGCCTTTGTATCTATTGTAAAGTTGCTTTATGTCAGCCAAAGCTTTGATACGAGGATGGCTGTAAAATACATCAAATGCTCCTTCAAGATGCCAATCGGAGGCCTTCAAAGCCCAAATAGCGACTTTTTCACTGCAGCCAAAATAAAGAACAAGTAAAACTATGTAGTAAGCCATCATCCACCAATACATCACATGTGGCAAAACTACTACTTGTTTCACCAGCATGCAGCCAAGAGCATTACAGATATATAGGTGAAACTAAAATGTTCTACAACTTGGTCCAGATAATTATATTTTAAATTATAAATAGGCAACAGCCTCATGAACATCAGCCGAGAAATTTTATTAAAATTTCAGACGTTCTAACAACTAAGAACCATAAATTATCATGCCATGAAACTTCCAATAGTTGAGGTTCCACAGTATAAATGTAAGATTTATGATATGTATAACAAAGACTCTTGAACTGGCATCACAAGCAAACAGACAAGATAAAATAGGAAGGAAAAGGTAGAATTCTCAAAAGACTTCATTGTACTGATTGAACGAGCCCAAGAGGATAAAATGGAGACCGCATATTTACATATTCACAAATGTTTTATAATCAGGTAAATTAAGTGAGCACGTGATAAGAAAAAGAGTACTCCGTATAACAAAGTGAGCATCAAAAGCACTTACAAATACTTCCTTCTTGTATATAGTAGGTCAGCACTTACGAAAAGGCAACCAATCCCTTTGCAGAAGATGTATACAATCGTATTCACCTCAAAAGCGCACAAAATATTTCAACCCAATGCAATTTTACAGCATACACAAGAATAGAACATTAAAAGCCACGCAACAAGTTCACAGACCAAACACTGATGTAAAAGGAATTACCAGCTAAAAAATGAAGTCTCTACTTGAAAACAGTCAATGTAAAAATTAAGCACCAAAATACAATTTCAGTAATTAGTATACCCTGCCCCCGTAACCGTCATGAATTGCTGCACTTTGTCCCGTTGCTCTCTACCCAATTTGTTCTGTTGAGCAAAGAACAACTCATCATAATCGATTCATTACCGTAAAAATTACATAATATCTGCTACTCTTCCAGCTAATTTCTTGCCAAGAAACATCCAATAATAGTATAAATTAGTTTCTTATCGGATTTTTTCGAACTCTATAAGTTCTTTAATCTATTTAAAACTAAAAGAAAATAAAAAATGGCGACCCGACGGTAGTGAAAAATACTTGTACTTACCATTTTGAGAAGCGATAAGAAACGCTAATAACCAAGATTTTGATAGGATCGTTAAAAGGAATTCTAGAGAGAGAAAATTAGGCGGGGAATCGTTGCAATTTCTCTCTTTTTTTCACTGGTTGCGCAACCACTGCATACCCGCTCCCCACCTGACAAATTTGAAATTTATACGGTAAATTTTCATTTGAGAAAATTACAGATGGAGTATCCATATTATATCAAGAAGTGCATTTAGGTCCCCCAGCCTTTTGAAAAAAGGACCATTCCAGTAAAAAAAATTAATAATCATAATCGGGTTTTGGGCTAGTTACGGCCCATTGTGTCTAATAGTCCTATCTACAAGCCCAATTACAGTACTTGAAGATAAGCACTTTCGTCCAAAACNGAGTAATTTTTACCTGTGAACTTAACACAAAACGCATCGACCGACATATTGTAATATATATAATTACAATATGTAACCCAAACAATCCACTAAATTACAGCCCAATCCACAAAATAATTTTATCCCAACTTAATTGCCCCTAAATATTAGCCCAAACTTAATTTCAGGCCCACTGCTTAAACCGGCCCAAACTTAAATGATTCAGGCCCACTTCTTAAACCAGCCCAATCTCAATTAATAAAACCCACTCCTTCAACTCACCCCAACACAGGCCCACGTTCAACACAGGCCCAAACACTCCAATCTGAAGGCTACGGAGACGACGCAGGCGACGCGATGAGCTCCAGAACACACGTACGCAGTCGACTCCAGGACACACACACGCGATGAACTCCACAAATGCTCGAAATCACTTCGAGCCCACACTCTGGACACCGGAATCACGTTGATTGCACACTGGAAGCGCCGGAGCGGAAACGGCGACGCTGACCTAACGGACGCACCTAATCGATTGCCCACCAATTGCTCAAAATTACTTCGAGCCCACACACAGGATGCCGGAATAGCGCCGATTACACACCGAAACCGGCTACAGAGATGCTGGAAAACTCAAGAACGGTGGAAGATATCAAGGTATGGCTCTGATACCATGATAAAATTAGACTTCATTGCCTTCCTCGTGTGAGGATCCTTTCANTTCATTCCTTCCTCGTGTGAGGATCCTTTCAATAAATAGGGAACATGTACAACCTAATTATGGTAACCACTAATTACAATAATTTACAATCAAGTTTATATTTGTATTTATGGTAGACGTAATCTTCGGAATCTTTGTCGATCTTCAACCTTATTGACAAAAATTTCAGGCGTTCTAACAACTAAGAACCATAAATTATCATGCCATGAAACTTCCAATAGTTGAGGTTCCACAGTATAAATGTAAGATTTATGATATGTATAACAAAGACTCTTGAACTGGCATCACAAGCAAACAAACAAGATAAAATAGGAAGGAAAAGGTAGAATTCTCAAAAGACTTCATTGTACTGATTGAACGAGCCCAAGAGGATAAAATGGAGACCGCATATTTACATAATATAAATACATATTCACAAATGTTTTATAATCAGGTAAATTAAGTGAGCACGTGATAAGAAAAAGAGTACTCCGTATAACAAAGTGAGCATCAAAAACACTTACAAATACTTCCTTCTTGTATATAGTAGGTCAGCACTTACGAAAAGGTAACCAATCCCTTTGCAGAAGATGTATACAATCGTATTCACCTCAAAAGCGCACAAAATATTTCAACCCAATGCAATTTTACAGCATACACAAGAATAGAACATTAAAAGCCACGCAACAAGTTCACAGACCAAACACTGATGTAAAAGGAATTACCAGCTAAAAAATGAAGTCTCTACTTGAAAACAGTCAATATAAAAATTAAGCACCAAAATACAATTTCAGTAATTAGTATACCCTGTCCCCGTAACCGTCATGAATTGCTGCACTTTGTCCCGTTGCTCTCTACCCAATTTGTTCTGTTGAGCAAAGAACAACTCATCATAATCGATTCATTACCGTAAAAATTACATAATATCTGCTACTCTTCCAGCTAATTTCTTGCCAAGAAACATCCAATAATAGTATAAATTAGTTTCTTATCGGATTTTTTCGAACTCTATAAGTTCTTTAATCTATTTAAAACTAAAAGAAAATAAAAAATGGCGACCCGACGGTAGTGAAAAATACTTGTACTTACCATTTTGAGAAGCGATAAGAAACGCTAATAACCAAGATTTTGATAGGATCGTTAAAAGGAATTCTAGAGAGAGAAAATTAGGCGGGGAATCGTTGCAATTTCTCTCTTTTTTTCACTGGTTGCGCAACCACTGCATACCCGCTCCCCACCTGACAAATTTGAAATTTATACGGTAAATTTTCATTTGAGAAAATTACAGATGGAGTATCCATATTATATCAAGAAGTGCATTTAGGTCCCCCAGCCTTTTGAAAAAAGGACCATTCCAGTAAAAAAAATTAATAATCATAATCGGGTTTTGGGCTAGTTACGGCCCATTGTGTCTAATAGTCCTATCTACAAGCCCAATTACAGTACTTGAAGATAAGCACTTTCGTCCAAAACAAATTGAACATCTGAATTTTAAATTGCATTTCCAGCTTTCCGCATGAACATTGAGCGTTATTAGCGTTAAATGAAATTATCCGTTAATTTTCCGAATAATTGGTTGTAAACCCAGAAAAAATCTAGCAGGATGGTCCTTGGTAGCCGCCTCTTGATGTCAAGGACTCTCTCTCTTGCTTCAGCGCCGGCCACCACCACGACCACCACCCTTCAAGAAATTGCTTCCAACCACCCTAAAGGTAATATTTCAGATTTTGTGCGTGTGTGTAACAGTTAAATATGTTTTATTTGTTTGTTTGGGAATTAGTACTTGAATTTGTTAAAGCACTTGGTTTTCATTTATGTCCTCTCTGGGTAGAGCCTTTATTTTGTCTAGTACAGTAAAACCTCAATGAATGTTCGATAAATTAATAATCTCGCTTAAATAATAAAATTATTCGATTCCAACTTTGGACAGCGTAATAACTCTGTCAATGCACAATATAATAATTTTTTTTGAGATTTTTAAGGCCCTACTTATATATAAAATAGTATATATAAAATAATAAATGCTTAAATTCATAAAAGTTCGTACTAATACAAATTAACAAACTTAATTTGACAATATTTTCTTCAATTCTTATCCTTTTCAAAATATGTATCTTAGTCTTTCGCTTTTTCTTTATACCCAAACCAAACTCAACTTCATTCTTAATTTTTTGTAATGTACATACTATATTTGGTATATTCTTTTCATTTTGTACAAATTAAGGTTACGACTGCTTGAAATGCCTCTTTTGAAGAAACCGTTTGTAAAACACAATTATCATCTGAATAATAATCATCATTAATATGTGTATTAAGTACTCATTAAATAATATCTTCATTAGTACGAGATTTCTTCGCTGCTTCATTTTCACTGGAATAGCTTAAATAATCTCACTTAAATAATAAAATTCTTCAATTCCGACTTGGGACAACGTAATAAATTAATAACTCCGTCAATGCACAATATAATAATTTTTTTTTTGAGATTTTTAAGGCCCAACGTATATATAAAATAATAAATGCTTAAATTCATAAAAGTTCGTACTAATACAAATTAACAAACTTAATTTGACAATATTTTCTTCAATTCTTATCTTTTTCAAAATATGTATCTAAGTCTTGCGCTTTTTCTTTGTACCCAAACCAAACTCAACTTCATTCTTAGTTTTTTGTAATGTACATACTATATTTGGTATATTCTTTTCATTTTGTACAAATTAAGGTTACGACTGCTTGAAATGCCTCTTTTGAAGAAACAGTTTGTAAAACACAATTATCATCTGAATCATGATCATTGTGAATATGTGTATTAAGTACTCCTTAAATAATATCTTCATTAGTACGAGATTTTATCGCTGCTTCATTTTAACTGGAATAGCTTAAAAGGTGCTCGACATTCATCACATTTCTATAACATAGACCAAAAATAGCTTCACACAATCCATTGATTCTTTCATCTTCACCGACTTTCGATTCAACATTAATATTTTTATTTGACTGAATCTTGCAGATTTTTTAACCCATTTCAAATGAAACGCCATAGTAGAAAAAAAATGTATGAAATTTGGAATGATTGGAGGTATTGAGTTAAAACTAATTACTGTAGAAATTTTATTCCATGTGTACGTGAAATAACTTAAAACAATTAATATTTCAAGTTATTAAATTTTGAAATGTTTCCTCTTTAATGTATGTGTGTGCCTTTGTATGTGCTTGAATGTATTATAGGAAAATATAATCCAAGTTATAAAAGTATAAAATACTCTATAAATTAATAAATATTCATTACGATAAATTAATGACCCCTCTAAAATAATAATTTTTGTCAGTCCCAACATTATTATTTTATAGAGGTTTTACGGTATCTATTGTCTTAATAAAAGAGTACAAGACTTGAACTAGCTTATTGTTTAAGGTGTTAAAGAGGGTACACATTCATTCATTTACATTTAGTCCTCAATAATAATCATTCATGTTAACAGTTGATAGAATTGATTTGTAGGAATTGCAAAGGTTGTGCTGAAGAAGGGAAAAACTCAACTTTTTAGGGATGGAAGTCCAATGGTGTACAGTGGTGCGGTTGATAGGATAATTGGTAGACCACCCCCCAAAACGGGAGATATTGTCCTGGTAGCGGATGGGACTGAAAAACCAATTGGTTGGGGCTTGTATAATTCAGTTTCTATGTTTTGCGTACGGCTCATGCAGTTGGAGGACGAAGCAGCCCGGTATCTTTCTTAATAAATCCTCAGTAGAGCATGTTTGGCTATGCTTAAAAGTGAGTCAAACTTACTTCTAAATTATTTGCTTTGCCATTTGGGAAGTAACTTTTAAACACAGCCAAACATGCTCTAGTAGTTAACTTTTTAAATACACTTGCCTAATTGTATCAGTAATCAAAATGGTACAGAGATCCTTCTTGCGCGTTGAATGTTGACAAACTGATAGAAACAAGAATAGATGCTGCTGTTACATTACGAGAGCGGTTAGGCCTTCCTTCAGCCAATACAAATGCTTATCGTCTTGTTAATAGTGAAGGGGATCGGTATAAGCCCTTATCTTCTGCTGCTTAAAGGCTCTTTTAGACTATAATCTTGCAACACACATTTTCTCCTGTTACGCATTCTTGAGAATTTTTCTTTTGTACTTGCACTTGCTCAGTCTGCCTAAAATGTTATTATATACCAAGTTTTGCAAGCACTAAACCACCCAATCTTTTATAGTTTTAAGTTTTTATTTTTATTTTATTTTTTATGTTTAGCTTTAAATTGTGAATTTGGTTTACTGTCATAATGAGCTGGATATATGAGGGCAAATGGCGTAGAATTTTTGGCTGATCAACTATCTCAGCAAAGTTTTAAATTGTGTTTAAACTTTAATGCTTTATTTATTTTAATTACTCTAGCCGTGTCAAAGAATTGTACATATAAATGAATAATTTACAAAGCCTCCTCTGCGTGGATGTGGTTAATATCTCACATTCACCATCAATTTTATGTTGGCCATATCACTGTGGTTTTACGGTTAGAAATGCTACTTCTGTTACTTGCATGCTCGCACCTATTGATGCGGATTGCATTGTTTGATCTGCAGTTTCATTACATACCGAAACCAAGTCTGGTTGGCATAGCCTTTGTATCGAAATCTTGATTATTTCCTTGCTTTGCCGTTCTTGTGTTGTTTTATCTTTTGCTGCAGGTTGTCAGGTCTTATTGTTGATATTTTTGGAGATGAAGCTGTGGTAGCTTCATCTGCTGCTTGGGTTGAAAAGTACAAGCAACAAATAAAAGATTGCATCCACAGAATAAACAATATCAACAATGTAACCTGGAGACCCTCCACTGAAATCTTGAAGGAGGAAGGTTTAGATTTCTCCGATTCTGCATTTGTAGAATCATCAAATTCTTCCAGAATGGTTAAGGTAAAATTCCAGCTTTACTTAGACTATACAAGATCACACTGCTTGAGGTTAAAATCTGTTGAGATGGAAACTGATCGTTTATGGTATTATAATGGAATATTTACCATATCATCATATCAAATATACGGAAGTTTGATATTCTTATAGATTATTCTCTCTTCAAATTTTGCTCTATCATTTCATTATCTACTATGTTTCATTGAAGTGGGAATTTGCTTTTTATCACCTATCAAGTGTGTGAGAATCATCATACACATATACTTCTGTTCTAAATTTTATATTTAGAGTCGTATTTGTCGATATTTATTTTTTCTCTTGACCAGGTTGTGGAGAATGGCATTTCCTATTTAATCTCTTTGGAGGGACAGAAAACTGGTTTCTATGCAGATCAGCGTGACAACCGTAAGTTGATATCTTCAATTTCAGAGGGCCAGAAAATACTTGATATTTTCTGTTATACTGGAGGTTTCGCTCTGAATGCAGCATGTGGCGGTGCTCTGAGTGTAACTGGTAAAATATATATGTTAAAATTTTGTCATTTTTTACTGACGTCCTTTAAATGAAGCTAATGATCTAAATGTCACCAAAACTTCATCTATGTTTGGTTCTATTGAAGTTCTCTATAGATGAAAGGATTAATTTTTTGAGTAGAAATAGTCGTCGTCTTAATTTATTTTCTTGAAGAAAAATATATTTTTTCTGTGTTTATCTGAAAATCTAGCTGCGAAAAATAGGGCTACCAGAGTGATCAAAATCAGTTATTATCATATTTAAACATGTGTCTACGTTTATTACTAGCATTAATTTAAGGACTGTGATTTGTCACCATTTTCGTGTAATCATCTCCTGTTGCACTATTTGTTCTTTTTTATGTTTTTGTTTCATTTTTTAAAAATTTTCAACTGTGTAATGACTAATGAAGGTAGGGTCTGTTGTATGAGGATGAGGATGTTCATGATCACCGTCTTTCTTATCATTTTAGATAATTTTGAAATTTGCCTAAATTCGAATCTCGGAGCTACCTGAAACTTTCTAAATGACAGAGAGATAGCTCCCTGAATTGAATTGAACAGAGTGGAGAAAAAGTTTTTTTCTACTTGACTTCACATTCATTCGGAATAGACTTAGCTTCTTGTTGTTATTCTAACTATTTTTTTGAAGGCGTTGATTCGTCTTTGCCTGCATTGGAAATCGCCAACGAGAACATTGTTCTCAATGGCCTTGATCCAGGAAGAATATCATTTCTTAGACAGGATGCTACTGAATTTATGAAGAATGCTATTTCTAAAGGTAAATCATGGGATATAGTTATCTTGGATCCACCAAAACTAGCTCCACGTAGAAAGGTACTCTATGTGCCTCTTTTTTTTTTTTTTATGTCTTTTGGCGCTTTTTTGTTCTAAGCAGTACAATTTACTATGTCTTTTCTCTTTTTGTCTTTTGGGGGTGCATTGAGGGATGGATACTTTCTAGAAACCAAACTGATCTTCTTGGGACACTGCGACTTTTTTAGGTATTACAAAGCGCATCTGGCATGTACAGGAATTTGAATTCTTTGGCGATGCAAATAACAAGGCGGGGTGGATTGTTAATGACCTGCTCTTGTTCTGGAGCAATGACCCAAAGTGGAACTTTTTTGCCCGTTCTCCAGGCAAGTTATCTCCCTTTTTTTCTCGATTATTTGTAAATTATTTGAGATAGTATGGAGTATGAACATCTCTTAATTATTCAAAACTTTACTGGACGTACTAATTCTCTGTTCCATTTCTCGTTATACAGGGTGCTGCACAGATGGCTGAGAAAAAAATTACAGTTATACGTCAAGCTGGAGCAGCCTGTGATCATCCTATCGATCCTTCTTACCCAGAAGGAGCATACCTCTCGAACATATTACTTAGAGTGCTTTAAACGAGATTGTAACTCATTTTTTCTGTATTAGTAGCATGCTACGCAATCTTTCCCACCAATATTGTTACTATTAAAAATAAAAGAAATTCTTCAGTTGAACTAGAATGGAAAAAAACCATTGAGCAATCAATTCATAAATAAAATTTACATTATAAATTCAAATCAAAACAATAAAACCGGCGCGACAGGGGTTATCGCTTACAAATCTTTGAAAAGATAAGAGAGCAAGATAATATCAGCCGTTATAAAGTGAGAATGCATTCGCTAGAATGTCAGTCAACAGCTAGTTTAGTGACCGTTAGCTAGTTTAGTGACCTCCTGGATTCCGATTTCATGACAAATATGATGGATCTCCAAGTTGCCTGGAACAAAATAAACAGCGATATCACATATCAATAAGAGCACCAAATGTGGACTCGACTAATCAATGAACCATGGGGGAGAGGAAGGGATGCTTCGACACAATTAATAAAGCAGGGGGTAGACAGAATTATACCTTGGTTTTACCAGATAAATAATAATGAACACCATGGCAAGGAAGAAGCACAATCCACCCACAGTGAGATACGCAGTACCAAGAAAGTCATTCTTCCCTCCTAGCCAGCTGGTGGTGGACAGAACAAGTTTCTTCTTGCCATCGAAACTGTACCGTCACCAAAAATACTTCTTTTCCCCCCTTTTTCCTCTCAAAATAAGAAAAAATCGTGCGAAAACCCCCCCAAAAAAACACATAAACAGAAGGAAGGATCGAATAGAAACAGAGATGAAAACAAAATATAAATAATAGCTATCAAGATCTGGAATTTACGAAATGAAATGAGAGGGAGAGAGATGTAAGATTTACGAGGAATTCGGTAAATGATGCTATGTTCTGGATCTAACTCTCAACTTTTTCTTCTTCGACTTCGAAATTTCTTCATCTATTTCTTTTAAAAATCAGCACAAAATCACAGGAAAAAACGAGAAATCCACAAATTGGCTTGGTGTTTCTCTCTCTAAAATAAAATTTCAAGGAAGGGTTCCATCGTTTCTCTCTCTAAAGGGGCGGCAACAGTCTGTCCACCCCGATTCTTCTCTGTCTAGATTCTAGAACGACGGAGGGGTTTGGAAGGTAGAGTTTAAAGAGTGAAAAAAGGGACGACAGAAACAGTCATATCGATACTCCTAAGGAAAATTTGTAGCTGTGTCCCCAAACTATATAGCTTCTTTTCTTCGATGAAAACTGTCAAAAGTTAATCTCCGAGTCGCCGTTACTAATATTCATAGTTTCAAATTGGATTCCACCACCACTACTAATATTCTTGTTACCTGATGTGAACAAGTCTAAACCATCACGTGCACTTCTGAAAATAAATCAAACCAAGAGTTTTTACTTGGAAATGTAGAGAGGGACGAATACACACGAACATAATATATTTACATGAAACACCTAAATACATGTATAAATTACACACTCAGCATCAGTGATGCTGCCGCTGCCTCCGCCGCCTCAAAGGGAGGATGTTTGTATAGCTTTATAAAGCTCGAGCAGCAATCATCAAGTGTACAGCCTGAGGCGACTGCTTATGCGCTGTCGACATATGGGACAGTCTGACAATCTCGAGCTACAGTCTCCGCAAGTCTGCAATCAATAATAAAATCAGTACCAGGTTTTTGCTTCCAGTTTGACTGAAGAAATACAAAATATGTTGTACTAGTGCATCTCACCATGTGTCCGCAGTTGAAGGCCAAGTCTTTACCGTTGGCTAGACAAACAGGGCAGACCTTCATTCAATTAAAAGACGGAAAAAAGAAAATGAATCAGCATTGAAGAATTGGAAAGACATGGGACTCCCAGTTAAGAATTTGGAAATTTGATCACAATTCACTTTTTTTAAGCTTAGCCAAACATGATATAAGTAGTTTATGGTTCTTTACCTGATTTCGATCATCTTGCACAGCTGTCGAAGTGTTACTGGGTTCCTGGGATGCAAATGCTACACGTCTAGTGTCGGGAACCGGTGGAGGCCTAGGAATGATGTTCTTTGCTTTACCAGTTACACCTCTTTTGTCCAACACGAGAAAAAGAGAGAAACTTATCAGGAGACGAGCAAAATTTTATAACCATGGTGCATGCTTGATAATTATGTTTTCGTTACTATTATCTAGAACTTGGAAATATGATGGAAAAGCTGCTGGTTTAAAAATAATTTCATGAAATGTCAGGAATTCGAAATGCATACTCGTTATCAAAAACTTAAATAAGGTAGAAGGTTCAAGTGCTTCAAGAAAAAGAAAAAGTTAGGGTCTGTTCCATTTGTTGTTTTCAGGTCATTCTCAGTTTTCGAAAATACTGAAAACACGTTTACTTACCTATTTTCAGAAACGAATTTCCAGAAACGAGTTTAAAATTTACAAAGAAAACAGAAACGTCAAAAATGTCGTTGCGGCTGTTTTCAGTTAAAACCAAGCCAAAACTTCATTTTTTTTTTAATTTTTGAAAACAATTTTTCAAAATGACAAAAAGAACGCGTTTTCAGCAATCTCAAAATGAATACTCAAAACATAAAACCCAAAATGAATTCAAAACTAAAAACTAAAAACTGAAATACGAAGAGAACAACCCCTTAATTTTTTGTTCTTACTCCTCAGTTTTTCAATGAAGAAGGTTCATTAACAAGTGTTCACCCATAACTCGAAGTGTAAGTACCCGAGTAGACGAAGTTCTTTAGCTGCTTGGTATTGGATTGGGATCTCCATAAGAGCAGCAAGAGCGAAGGCAGTTTCTTTTTCAGACGGTGTTGCTTGTTTGGACATAACAGCAGTGAAATTAACAAACTGCAACACAGAAAACACTGAGCCATTACTTTTTGAGACGTCTCAGTTAAGTTAAAATTTCACCAATTTTCAATAAAAGCTGTACCTGAAAATTATCAAATTCACGAGCAGGGATCTTGTCATCAAAGTTTCTCACATCTTCCCAGGGTCCATCACCAACGCCAACAAGAATAATTGAGAGAGGATACAAACTGATAACAGAAATGAACAACTCAGATGTACTTACATGATTTCCAAGTTAAATGTTGAATCATGCTTTTGCCAACGTGATACGAGAAAAAGACTGAACAAATAACTCTCAATGATATTTTTATGAAGAAAAATTAAAACTAATTTTGCTGAAATAACTCATTCAAGAAGCCAGAAAGATCTCACTTCAGCACTCAAGTCTTCCTTAGTTTTAAATCATATGTTGCGCATGAAGAAGTACATGGAGACTGGCATATTTTGGCCAGTATGATATAAGAATACCGACTCTGAATTTTCAACAATAACTGAGAAAAGGGAAAATCTATATCAAGCCAACCCCATGGAAATTATAAAACTATAATTTCAAAACACGCAGAAAAAATCCATGCTAATATCAAGTTACTAGCTGTGAAAGTTGGCATCTGGAAAGTTTCTACAGCTAGGCTTCTGACAGCTACAAGGACATTAACATTTTGCATCATGGCTAATTCAAAAATAAATAGTATTGCATGGGCTTGATGAAGTGGCTGAAACTCACATCAAAATCAACCAGATGATTGTATTTTTAACTGTACCTTGCATTGACAATAGAGTCTATAGTTTTCGATTCTTGTGGGCTGAGCTCCTTCTTTCTCGTACTTTTTGTTACCTTCATGACAAAATGTAAGTATTTTGAAGTGAGTGGCTGCGTGTAGCCATGTCTATTTGTCCAAGAGAGAGAAAGAGAGAGACCTGGCCATCTGCTATGATTACCAAAACATGGTATTGTCCACCACTTCTCTCCACTATGTCTACTGCAGCATCTACAACTGGTCCATAAGATGTTGGCCCTTAAACAGACAAATACATAAATATTTATCAATCTGCTTTGTGAATGAGAATTTTGTATTACATGCATATAGAGGTAGTCCATCGTCTTAAGAAAACATATTCCTAAATGGAAGATTACTAAAGTAGGATAGAAGCCTACCGGACAATCGCAAATTTGGAACTATTCTTTTGTAGCGGGCTAAAACTTCTTCAAAACCATAAGAAGGAGTATGATCGCTGTGAAAGCTAAATACTTCCTGATCGCATGTAGTTGCTACAGATAGAGATTGAAAGGGGATGTTAACTACACAATTGAGAAAGGAGGATGCTTGGAGAAATGACTGTTAAACTTAAGTTCATCAGGTACAGAACTAGCCACCGGAAAGGAAAAATAATACCACAAATGAAATGAACTAACCATCTCCAAATCCAAAACAAGGAATCAAGTTGTCTTCATCAAAAGGGGCCAAAGTTTTTCCGATAATCGATATAGCTTTTTCGTATGGATTAGGTATATCACCAACTGCATGCAGGCTTCTATTGTTGAATGAAACTTCACCTTTAATAACAAAAATTGATGAATTAGCTTAAAAGTATAAAAATTCCAGCCCATCATACCATGACAATTCAGCGGTGATGAATATGTGACTATTTATCCAACAAAAAAGGTAACAAATGAAAAAATATCGAACCATCCTTCCAAAATTATTTCTAAATTTCAAAATTGATCTTTGACCGTACAAACTAGTCTGCCGTTGACATGCTTAACGATCTGACAAATGTACGACAGTAACAACAGATTCACAAATGTTGAATATGCTGCAACTATATTCTTTTTGGGTTTCTATGGGATAAGCAAGATATTCTACAAAATTTATGTCAAGAAGATCAAAGACAACAAAATGGGTAAAATAATGCATGAAAATATGAGGTGAAGAAGGGATCAAACAATTGTTCAGCTGCCAAGTAATGTAATTCCAAAAATCCGAAATAAAATTAATTTATTAAGGCTGTGAATACAGAAATAGAAAGCAATATATCACTATGAACCAACAAATTTTCTTACTATTCCAGGTAATTAGGTATTCCCTTATAAGTTCATTCCAAAAAATTAGCAATAAATGCAGCTTCTTATCAGACAATTTAGTTTGCACTTTCACTAACCTGTCCATTCATTACTTTTTGTGAAATCAATTCCCAAAATCAGATTTGATGACTCAAGACCAGATTCCCTCAAGGCAACTGTGACCTGCAATAGTCAATCAATGATACGAGCTTAATTAATTCATGTTGAGGTATGAACCCACTAAATTTACCAAGGTAACATACTGTAATTAAGAACTTGCAGGAATAAGTTATTGATATTAGTCCACGGTGACAACCTTGAGCAGCCATTCCAATTTACAGGATATTTGACGCTCACACTGACACACATACACACAGAGACAGAGAGGAAGACAAAAACATCTTGTTCATTAGTAACTGTATATCCCCTTGAGTGGACATGTGCTTTCATTCTGTAAATATGCCAAATTTAAATGGAACTCCATAGAACTACTATTAGACTAGCCATACTCTACAGCATCGAGCATTAAAGTATAAAACTATAACAATTAGAGATAAGTTAAAACATACCTAAAGAGTGTGTTACTCATGAAAGCTATGTAACCCCAATAAAACTGAATAGAAAAGGGAAGGACGACCCAAAATTAACATGATTGGTTACAAAATCTTTGATTTTTTTAAAACTATTTAAAATTTCTTCTCAGATATATATAATCTAAAAAATTGTTCGTATAATCAATCCCAATTTTTTTTTTTTTTTAAACTTCTTGTGGTGGTGGTGTCCTTGTTGTATGGCCCAGTATGAATATAATCATAGTACATAATGGAGAAAAAGCTTGCTATGAATAGAGGGACCCTTTCCTGCTTTATCCTTTTCTGTTGTTATGAACAGCACTTATGGTGCTCCATTGCCAGTTGTGTGTGCAGTAAGCATCATGACGCTTAGAAACCATAAATAACTAGAGCATGCTTGGCTCAGCTTAAAAGGTTTACTTACAGTTAAAAAAGCAAGTTCCAAAATAAGTAAAGTAGCATGTCCAAGGAAAGATAAAGTATATAGTAACTTTATATATGTTTTTTATGCTTGGCCAAACATATTCTGTTGTAGATACCTGAGTTTTTCATTTCTCTCCTCTCTCAGATTGGCAGGTAGTAGTTACTTTTGCTTTTGCAATATGCAACCACCGATAAGATGTTTGGCTGAATCATTCATGCCTCGAAATATTAAATAATATGGGAACAGGAAGTTAAAGATGATTTGTACTGCGTTCTATAAATAAAGATTGATGACCTCAACTTCAAGAATTAAACCCAAAAGAAACACACATGGAGACACCAGCATCGGATTCACCAAACCTATCATTTTCAGACCATAAAATGAGGAACAATTAAACCAGTTTGCCAGAAAAAAATCGACATGCTTGTTGACATCCTCTCACATGTGGCGGGACCCACGCGGGACCCATATGAATTAAAAAGGACAAAAAATTCCCCCCACCCCCCTGTTATGAGGGGGCTGCCAGCCTAGCATTGTTCGGTATCATGGCAACTCAACAACAAAATGAAACAAAAATGCAAGATGTAAATGTGTTGTAACAAAATGAGTGTAGGGATTTTTTTTTTTTTAACTGTCAAATGACAGTCAAACTTGTGTACACCAAGCAGAACTGAAAATGAAAAGAGGCGAAAAATATTAAAAATTATGATCACCTGTCTAAAATGTTAAGAGGTGTGTAATGTGTATTCATCTAAATCTAGTCATAAACACAGCCCTAATTTTTCTTTTTCCCGGCCTAACAAGTGCACAAGTTTTGCGGATTGCCATATTTAACTATCTAATCTAATCAGGATTGCGTGGATTCATTTAAATAGTGACTTAATCACAGGTCCTTAAAGACTAACTAGGAGTAAAATTGGGAGAAAAGTAGCTAAGAAGAAGAAATAACCTGGTCGATGGATGTAAAATTATCCGGGATGTATTCGTACTTTTTCTTCTTTTCCATCACCCTGCTAGAAGCTCTGTCGCTTGTACCCTTCAACTTAGCAACGGCGGTACCCTTGTGCTTAAGAAATCCAAACATATTGCCCATACTCATCTTTCCCACTTCCTCCTCGAATATATTTATATATATATCTCGATTGTGAAATGTACAAAACCAGTGGTTTAAAGCAAAGTGCAGTAACGAGGATATTGCGAGAGGAATCGTGTAAGTGGCACAATTTTGCCTAAATTAGTACAAGGACTCGAAGATAGTGAAGGAAAATCAGGGAAAGGTGATTCTTGCTTGTAGAATTGAGTTTAGGATATATTCTTCCCTTTGCTAGTGCTGTGCTTGAAGAACAATCCACGCGGTGAAGCGTCTGCAAGAGCAGACCATTTTCTCCGTAACTCAGAACACTGATTGTTCATAAAACCAGTGTCTAAATGACATAAAACCTTATTAAAGATGTTTTCAAACGGTTCCTTTGAAGTATTTTCGTATAAAAGAGCATAAGACAGCATATTCCACGAGAATAAAATTTTTTAGGAAAATGTTACTTGTACATTGGGGGTACATAAGGGTGTCCATAATGGACATTCGACACCTCTCCATTGGATGAAGTGCCGTTACTTGTACATTAGGGGGTACATAAGGGTATCCATAATGGACACCCGACAGGGAGGTGCCGGGTGTCCATTATAAATACCCTTATGTACACTCCGATATATTTGTAGCACCTCCCAAAATTTTATGTACTCCTAAAAAAATAAGGTTAAGCTAATTGGCCAGAGCCAGGTTTTAAAAAATATTTATTATTTTTTTCTATATTTTATTTTCACCAACTTTCTTTTAAATTATTATATTATTCTCCTACATAAAAAATTGAAATATTTTTAATGCATTTAATTATAGATAGTCACTTTCAAAATTAAAATGTCAATTTAAAGAGTATCTTGAAATATAATTTTACGGATTGATTTTTTAAAATTGAGAACATTTTATATTTAAAAAGTCAATTGAAAATACTCTAAGCCATGTAAAAATGCGATTAACTCCTTTTTTGAGCACCTAATGCTGACTTAGGTGAACATTAAGGGAGGTTAGGGACAAAAATGCACTCCTTTTTAAATTATTATTATTATTATTTTGGAGTCATTTCTTCAACCTAATGATTAGGACCCATTCACCTAAAAAAGGTTCTTGTGCTCTAAATTTTTTATTCTCTAATTTTTGAAAACTTGAAAATTGTTTAATTATAAGAATTCGTAATTAATTATAGTATTTATGATTTTAATTATTTGGCAAATATTATTTTATTTTTTTAATAGTCATAGAATAATTGAAATAATATTCAAATAAATACTTTTCACATCTAGACTAGACTTTTAAGTCTTGAGGTTTGGTGTCGTTGTCTTATCAAGTCTTGCGCCTCTTGGAAGGCTGCAGAAGGCTGATACTAATAAAAAATATTTAATGTACAATCAAAATAGTACAGCAATTTCAACAGTCCTCTCCCATGGGTGGGGCCAACGATTATTTTAATCGTGGACCCCACAAAATGTATGTGAGAGGGCTGTCAAAATTCATATAACTCTAGCATTGTTCGTTGCTAATATGGAAAATGACATCTTTTCATCAAGTCTTGCATAGTACAACTGTGTGGATAGTACAACTGTGTGGACTAAATGTTCGAATACACCAAGAAAAACTGCACGTTCAAATACAACATACAAATTTATTTATCATAAGCTAGACATCTTAGCGTCATATCTTCTTAAGAGAAGCTTTCAAATGAGGTTGAAGATCCGTGAGATTGGTAGCCATTTTGACCTCATAACATAGTTCTCCATTACCCATTTTGAAAACTCGCGTTATCTGCTTTACCTGTCCACCCAAAAGAGTTTAAACATCACATCATGCTGTCATTAGAGCACCTCAAGTTTCATATTCAATAAAATATGAAGAACACGAAGCAAAACGATTCTTGAAAAGGAAATGGAACTTAGATGAGAGTATAAGTTCATGAGACCCCGGGCTATCTATCATAGAGGGGGCAACAGAAGCTTAGATAGAAGCAAAAGAAGAACAAGAGGAAGAGAGAATTTAGAGAGGGAAATTAAATGCAATCGTCTCTCCATAATGAAAACCCTCCTGCTTATTACTGAAAGGTTTAATAAATAATGCAGCAAGAATCAGAAAGTTGACAAAAAGAGAACTGAGAATGACAAGTAAAAAATCATCTTCAAGTTTGAAAATAGATCAGAATCTCTACTGAAGCATAATAATGTGAAGAATGCAAGATCAAATTCACTGCTACTGTATGAAAGGAATATAAATGTATTGAAAGGTCAATTGTTGGTTAGATTTTACCACTTAGGGGATATGTGCAAAACAGTCTCTCTTTTCTTTATTTACCTTTGAAGCATTCCCGACAAGTGCACTCTTTAGCTTCACAATTCTCTGTTCTGCATCAAATGTTCCTTTCTGCAGAGCACAGTAGTGAAGCAATATAAGAGGAGAAACTCAATCAAAAACTACAAGGATTGTCTCTAGAGAAGCCTGTCTACCTCTATAATATAAGAGGTCGGTTCTGCTTCAAATTATTTTGCTACCACAACTTGTTATGACTAAGGCGTGAAAATATTTTTACGGTATGTCTGTTAGAGTGAAGTATTAAATGAGACAATTGACAAATTTGCTTTTATACTTTTGAACATTCTTTCATCAGAACACTGTTCAGCATATAGCTTATAGTTCAAGTGCAATGCTTTGGGGCAGAAAACGAGCCCACCCCACCAAAAATGAGTAGGATCTCACTAAAATTTTGCTGCAGATAGAGGGCCAAAAAGCACTATCCAATACAGAAAGGAACAAAGGAAGATCATTAAAAGTGACACGCCATGTTTAGAGCTGAACCTGGAATAATGTCTCAAATATCTCATCTTAATTATACATCCAATTTGTGTACCATATAGGATTCGAGGTTGTAATGTAATAAAATAGGTTTTGGAAATTCAAACTTGCTTTCATTAGTTAGCCTACTTCGTCTAAGTTAAAAGTGCAGCCAGTTCATGAGTATGAGATAATCATGAAAACTAAACCAAGGTCAAATTCGAAATATGATCACAATTTGGGTCCATACCTACAGAAACATGAAGCCCCTAATGCCAAGAAAAGTGAGCTAACATAGTGCCTACCTTTTATAGCTCACTTAAAAATGTGCCTAACATAAGCAGTAGTTTGTTCATGTTCATATTCTTAATCATCCAAGAACAGACCATTCATGCACTACCAAAAATGACTTAACGCCACATTAAACATGGAAATTTTGATTAGTTATTTCCTTTATCTTCTTTAGTCAATTTTGAACATCAAAGTGCTCTTTCATGAGCTGATTTTCTTTCAATCTTACAAGTTATCTTAGAAGAGCGCTATTGGACATTTAAGCGATTTTCTTAAATATAGGTTTTTACATAGCCAGCTCATTATTTTTTCATCATAAAATATGGACTCACATGAATTTGCAACACACCTTGTTAAAAAAAACCCAACTAATATACAAGAGTAGCGTTATAACTTCTAATTTCAAAAGGCCACATTCAAGAGAACCAGAGTCTTGAATTACTTCTAACATCATATTTTAATGGAAAACAATAACGAAGTCCTAGTGATCTTCTTTATCTAATGAATGGGAGCTTGCCTTAAAGTCGTCCGCTCTGCATTCAACCCAAGTATATGTTTCAACAGGACACAATTCAAGGACTATTGGCACTGGAAGTTCCTAAAATGGGTACTATCAAGTCAGGTGAATTCCATGATCGACTCGGAATTCCAACCTTCCTTGTCCTCTCATGGCCTATCACAAAGAAGTTTCTTACTTTTCTAACTTTTGAATAAAATTCAGAAACTTTTCGATAGGGACGTACTGAAATTTTGATTTAAGTTTCGCATTCCCTCCTTTGTCGTGAGTTTCATCAACAATTAACATATTGGGAGCTGCACCTAGAAATTATCTTACAATTAACTTGGAGTTCGAATTAATGTTAAAATAGGTCTTTTATTGAATTTATGAAAATAAATTACAATTCGATATACAACATTTCCACGGGTTCGTGTCAAAAATAGCATTTCTAAGTAGTACCTGGACTTCAGCTAGACCAGTGCTCTGTGCAATTACAACTTCAATGGTCCCATCAATTTGGGGTCTCCAGTATCCACTTTCAGCGTGCATAGGCTGATTGGTGTTCAATTTCCAAGTCTTTGAAGAATAAGCTATGACGGGCTTCTCATTCATAACCAAAACAAAAATAAAAATGGAAACAAAATCAATTATGGAACTCTGCAATGTCAATTGCTGCGTAATTTTTCAAAGGAGAAAGAACTATAGAATACCTTGTTGGGAGAGTGAGAAAAGTTGAGCTCTTCAGAATAAGTAAAAGGGGTGATGGTGGGGAAACTGCCCTCGCCTTGGCCTCTCCAAGTGCCAAGCAAGAAGGCTAGTGGTTGAACCACCGGATGCACTGTGGCTAGAGGCGGTATGAAATTTGCAGCCATTTCTGCTTTTCTTGTTGCTCTTGGATTTGACAATGGCGGGCCTCTCCTTCTCCGTCGCCTTGGCAAGACAATTAAGCTTAATTCTAAAAAGTAAACCTTCAGTACTTATAATCAGGGAAAATTAGGAATAGGCTCCTAACATTTCAGGCGGCGTCATTTTAGGTCCCTATCATTCAGAAGTGAATTTCTGAGATCCAATTTATTTAAGCAGGTTTTTGGAGTTTACGTACAAAATATTTTATTATATAAATATTTGTTTAAAAATGACTATTTAAAAATAAGAGTTTTCGATTAATGACCGTTAGTTTGACAGATGATGAGGCGACAAAGGCCAAAATATATGTCGCCTCATCATCTGTCAATGAAGGTGTAAACATCATTTGTGCAAATAGTTTAATTGTATTTATATATGTGAATTTGAAAACTTTACACGTAGATGTAAAATTCTCATGTGAAAATTACATTTAAAAAATGAAGTTGGACAATCAAATGAGTTGGTTGAAAAAATTACATTGTGAAGTACTAGAAAGAGGTCTCATCTTTATATCAAAAGATCAAACTTTAGCTAAGGTAATTCAACTACGTTGTCTGCCAACTTCATAGACAATAAAGATGGTTTGATTTGGACTAGAACTCGAGCAGACAGTATATTGATACTACCCAAACTTTCGATAAGAGATCTTAACCTGTTTCGAATCCCATAAACTAAAATAAAATTGGAGTCTAATTACATTCTTTTTATACACCAATCTGTCCACGGGAGTTAACTTGTACCACGTGCAAATCCAGGCTTCTGAAATCCGATTCACCCCATGTAAATGATCCGGTTGTCAAATCCACGTTCATCATTTGCCTCTTTCGCCCGGTGAAGATCCTTCTTGAGGCAATCCTACCGGACTCTCATAGGAAGTACAGCAGCTTTCAGTGGAACGAACGGTACGTTTGGGGCATCGGATTCCCAATTCACCAGCAGATGACGCGGGAAGCACAAGGGATTGAATCTGTTCCGTTCTCTTGATAACCCTCTCCATCATTTACCACTGCAGATCCAATAATTTGATCGACGAGCATCTTGCAGGCTTGCTCCAAAATAGCCATATACCTTCTCTCAGCATCCTGACGAATCTGCAAATGTTTTTCAGCCTGCATAACCATGGTAAGGATGGATTTAGCTCAGTGTAACGTTATGGACCAACATTAAGCAAAACGAAAATCAGAAACATGCATGAAGAAACACAGATTTATAGTGTTTCACCCTCAATGTGATACGAACGTCCACTTGCAGCTGTAGGATTTCACTGTTACAATGGTGAATCTCGTGCACCTAAGATTGTCAGACTGAATAAGAATGCCTAAATGACCCTTTATTAGGCTCCAGACAGTCAAATATGAACTAGAGTCTGGTATTTTAAAATGAATTGAAGGTCGACGTCCTTGAGATATTGAAAGGTGAATGAGAGGGGCTCACTTCAACTTGCATTCAACTTCCATTTGTGCTCTCAATGCCTGCTTGACTTGATAAGCCCTAGACATATGATCTAAACCTCAAAGAAAAGTTCCAACATTTGCGACAAGTTGAAGCATATGCTCGTGTTATAGACTTCCTAAACAAGAATAAAAATACTTACTCGTTCATCTCAGAAACTGGCAAATTTCAAGGACTGCTTGCATGAGGGGTATCCAGAAGGTCTGAACCAGAAAGACCTTCCATTTGGCAGTTAAAAGGTCAGATGAAAACTATGGATGCAAAAATACAAGAATTATTCTTAGAAGGTTCGTATGTGAAATCTCTCGATACAAAAATCGTACTCTCTCCATTCAAGGTTGCTGGTGGGGGGATTGACCTGAGATGGTTAGTTCTCTACATTTTCTCTCTTCACATATTTTTTTTTCCCTTTCCTTTCAGGGTAGAAAATTACGAGGATGTAATGCGATATAAAGACCGAAACATCTCTAGGTCATCAACAAATTATGCTCCAAGTAATATAAAGGGATTTACAGCAGCAAATAAGAAGTTACACAATGAGACAGCTATGGAAAAAACTGGACATACCATCTGTTGATGCCTCACCGAGATCTTTCATTTGTTGCTTACTCATTCTGTATTTCTGTACAAGATACAATACATCCCGACAAATAATTTGGATTGAGTTACACTGAATTGCAAGCTCCATAGAGAAATCAAATAAATTATTTTTAACAAAAGGAAAGTAAACCTGGAGGTGACTCTTTAAATGAAATAGAGTCAATCCCTTAACACCCATTGTCCGCAGTAAAGCCTTTGGGGTAGCTTCTGTAGAATATGGACGTGTTAATACAAGTCAAAACAATTGAAATTCCTGTTCAGAACACATTGCCCCTGTCTGAGAAGCATTCTTTCAAAACCCATTTTTTTCATACTCCTTTTCAACTACACGTTCTTACAATAAAATGTTCTTTTACGTAAATCCAAAACTTCTTCCTACTTTTTTAACCACAAATTCTCCAATAATTTACTATAAACTCATTATTCCCAAAAAATGGCTGTCAAATCCGAACTCCCAAGAAATCAAGTTTGTCATGTTTGAGCCCCGTTAAAAGGTTAAGAATGCATTTTAAAATAGTAGATTGATAGATAATATACGGTTAAAAAATAAGGAAAAGTTTTGGGTTTACGTGTAATATAATTTTATTGAAGAATGTGTGGTTGAAATGAAGAGAGAAAAAAATATATTTTGTAAAAAATAGGAATCAAACAAAGGTAGTCCACTTAAAGCACCTTCATCGGTGTCATAGATGCAAACAGGAGTACGACCACAGGCTGCACAAACTATTCGATAGATAATTGGAAGAACTACTGACTGAAAATATCATTAAGATGGTCGCTTACTTAAGCAAATCAAGCCTGGAATAATGTTGACACCGACCTAAATGCCAAATGTCTTATGACCAAATCTAGTTGAGGAACCAGCAAAGGTAGGAAATCACTTGTTAAACTATATTTCAAGATATAGATATCCCACGAATCAGGGGTTTGAATAGTATTCCAATATTTCAGACACAAAAGAAAAAGAACATATTCTAAAATAGAAGGAAACAGTAAAGAATAACCTCCCTGAATTTGTTACTACAAGTACATCCATAAAAGCATACTGCACTGAGATGTATCGAGCTTGGCCGATGAATGAAGGATGTCTAAAACTAGCTAGCAATATCCTAACGACTTGGTCACATACAAAATCAGCAGCAATTTACAATTTTTAGTGCACGTTGGTGAACAATTGCAGACAATACGACAGACAGTCCAAATTTGAACTTCTTTTCTTATCTAACACTACTGTCTAAATTACATTACCAAACTAATTCATTAGGGCATATCACCATTCTTAATCAATCTGCACATGTTTGGGAAGTGTTTATAAACAGATCAATTATAAATAGATAAAAATACTACAAAATCATCAGCAAACACAAAAAGGTAATGAATTAGAAATCAAAAGAGTGGAGGAAATATAAATGTAAAGAAAAATACTAACTGTTGGCGCCACCAAGTTGAGCTACAGCAACAACAAACCGTTCATGGAGGTCAGCCGTCCACCAGAGGCGGGTTTTTTGGTTGGAGTTGAGGACCAAACATGGGTCTCCACCGCCCCTATGGCCATAACCACCGTCCTTTGTCCCCCGAATGTTTTCTTGAATCAATCTTGAAAACATGGACATTGGGTCTTCAATGCAAAAAGACTAACTTTTTTTACAGAAATCTCAGTTTCTTTTTCAACTGCTTAGTTATCAAATCAACAATAAAGGAGCTATCTTTTTCATTGTAAAATCTTTTAATATTTGTTGCAGAAGCCAATAAGTAGAGAAAAGGGAATGGAATATTGTCAGCTGTTTTCTTTCTGATACTGTTCTCTCCTGTCCTATTCACTCTATTCGAAATAAATTCGTCACGGATCCTTACCGAGTTATTTGTCTCAATTTCAACATAGCGGGTAAGGGTCCCATTTTGTCACAAGGGTTGTGACGGATGCATAGACAGAAGTGTATGTGAAATTATGTCAATTTATTTGACGGTGTAGCATGATTGGGGCAGGTAATTGGAGAAAACCGTACAGAAATGATTAAAGAAGGGGTAAACAAGACAAGCATGTTATACGAACAGACTCAATGACAAGTTAAAAAATGAGAGGACACGTGTTAACATATGATTGAACAGATAAAAAAAAAAACAACAACACTCAATTATTGTCTGCCACACCACCCTGTCACCTCCATCCCTGTCATTGAGCCTGTCCAAAGAGCATTATTCACGTAAAAGATTATTTTTCTATGTTAAAAGTAATAATTTATACTTAAATAGCAAATTAAGAATATTCCCATGCTATTTATTTGTTGTCCATTTTTTTTTCTTACAATTAAGGTTTTTAATCTTTGTTTGTTGTATTACATACGTCCCTAATACTTTTTTGTTGCAGTTTTATCATCAACTTTTCATTAATTAGCATATCTCGTCTCTCATAATAGTATACGTCAAAAAAATTCTTTGAAGGGCATAAAATGATTTATTTGTTCGTCATATTTTTAAAAAATAATATATACAAAAGTGCAACAAAATTTTTTTCCCATGTTTCAAACTACACAAATAATTTTTTTTTGAAAATCATCATCCATGACAAGATGTAGAGGCTGTTTGTGATTGATTATAATTAAAATTCCTACCGTTCAAAACCAAGAAATGCCATTTTTCTGACCGTTGGGCACCAAATCAGCCCACCTTTGTTGACTAGTTCTCTCTTGCATGGGTCCCATCAGAGGAAGCAACGTTCCAAAAATCAATTGGTATCCAAATCAGCCCACCTTTGTTGACTAGTTCTCTCTTGCATTGGTCCCATCAAAGGAAGCAACGTTCCAAAAATCAATTGGTAGAAGCGGGGCCAGACAGGCCGTAATATTTAAAGTAAGGTTGTAGACAAAAAATTAAGGACATAAGCGCTATGATGAAAAATGTTGAAAGATCTCAAGTGCAATTAAAATATAGTATAAGAATAAAAATATGGTGCCAATATAATTATTCGTAAATTAATCAACACTTTGAGATATCCTATCGTATTGACCATCTTTGTTTTTTCAAAAACTATACAAACATTTTTTTTAGATGTTTAGCAAGCATACATTTTTATTAGAGGGAGAAATTTTTTGACATGGTCTCGAAAAATTCCAGTTTTAATAAGAAAACTATTCTCAATACATGCTTTTCTACTTTGAAGTACAAAGCGTTGGGTTCGACCATTAGAAGTAAAATCATGTCATACATGCTCTTACAGAATAATTGAATACCGTCGTCTCAAATAATCAAGTGTCACAGTGGAAGCAACCATGATGATGACCTTTGCTTTTCTTGTTCAATGCATTCATTGTCCTCTTGGACATAATGCAATTTTGCCATTGTTTGGAGTACGCCTGTAATCTATTTGTAAATGATCAAATAAAATTTATTGATTTATTTCTTGAAATTATTATCCACTTACTCATTGTTCATTTTTAACTATTTATAATTTAAGTCGATTATAAACAACTACAAGCATGCTTTACCCATCTTTTATTGCAAAATGCAATGGCTTCTCTTAATTTCATCACACACTCTTCGTTTACTTAAATGAGAGTGGCTTGCAAGGGCGGACTTGGGGGGTCACGTGCCCCCGTAGATTTTGAAGATTTTTTTTAATATATAAAGGAAAAAAAAATTGTATCCAAACCTCAAATCCCTAATTTCTCTCTCCCCTCCCCTCCAACTTTCCCCCCGTCTCCACTCTCCACTCCAATCTCCCATCTCCACTATCCGTCTATCCCACATTCCGTCGTCTCCCCGTCTCTCTACTGGCAGCAGAATCGACCTTGCCGGCCCTCTCTCACACTATCACACACCTCACACCTTACCAGTCACCACAACACCACCACTAGTCCACCACACACAATTTATACTTTCGAGCTCTGCCCTTTCTCTCCGACTTCACTTCTGCCCAAGCAAGCAACCCAACTCTAGTGTCCGACTCCAAGTACGACTTCCAAGCTCTGAGGATCGAGGAAACTTAAATGAGTTTTTGTATTGACTGTTAATTTTGTAAATGAAGTTTTTCGATTTTTCTACTGTTCCACCAGTTTTACTCTTAAAATGAAATTAATGGGGGTTATAATATTGATTGTTAAGTGTTAATCTAATGTTTTGAACTGAATTTAGGGATTGATAGTTAGAGTTTGTAGGAATTTAGGGATTCTGATGAGATTTGATTTAGGGATTTTAGGATTTTGATGACATGTCGATAAACTTTTCTTTTAACATGTAAATGTATTTTCTTCTTAATGCTTCATTTGTACTCATTTGAAGGTTAGGTGGTACATCTCCCTCAGCGTATTTACTTTTCAATTTATATAATTACGTAGAAAACATCAAAATAATGAAAAACGTTAACACACTCGTAATTGTGAAAGTCTAAAAATCGATGCCCGTACGTAGACATTTTAACGAGAATCGAACCGTCCAAGTCAAAATCGTTACTTATAATTCGATTCCAAAAATTACATAAATTCAAATGATTCTATTTATAAAATATTCGAAGTCTGATCGCTGATTCCAATTTTCTGAATTACGCGAACCGACACCAAATGTGTTGCTTGAGTGGACTTTCACCAAACAAATAAAATAAAATGACGGGCGAAAAGTGGTCCTACAACAATTAATAATGCTCTATCACAATTAACATCATTAATAGAAGCTTAATTAAGAATTAATTATTGATTACTCAAAACAAAACATCTTAATTAATTATATTGATAAAGTTGAGATACAGCAAAACATATTTTCAAAAGTTCCACCAAATTTTGATTCTTCTGAGACATTGGGGATTGGCCCGAAAAACTCGCCTCACAAGCCCGAATTGAAGATTCAACATCAATCGCCGCCTTATCCAATCCATAGAAAGTCTCAGAATCTAAATTGTTCATAACTTCGGACAAGGCCCGAATCGCGTCCTCGTAAAAACCCTGGCATTTCTGCATACCGGATAATACCCTCCGATTTTCATCTGACTTCATGGATTTCAGTGATAAGCCAATGAAATTTTTTGTACTGGTAGCGTTTTTGTAGGCTTGTCCGAATACTATGTAGGAGAGGACATAGCGGTCGGCGGAGGAGGCCAGGGGATCGGAGAAAATCGCGGACATGCAAAAGGAGACATTGGTGGTGTTTTTGCAGATTTGGGTGGCGAGTTGGGAAGAATCTAGGTGAGGAGAAGCTGAGGTGAAAATGGAAGTTGAAAAGCAAAGGAACAAGGTGAAGATGAAAAAGTGAAGAGCACCAGAAATCGCCATTGTTGGTTCAGATGATAAGAGGTCCGTGAAGTTTTGTTTTTTTTATGCAATGTGTCCGCATAGGACAAACCAACAAACAAATCACGTGAATTTATCAGTTGGAAAAGATAATGCCCTTTTTTTGTTGTTTGGCTGAACTTAAAATTTTTACTTAGAAAGGTTCCAAATAAATAAATAAATTCAGTTATTTTAACAATAAAATAAAAATTAATTTTCAAATGAATAATATTAGAACTTGTTTGGGAGAGATTTTTGGGGGAAGAATTGATTTTGAATAGTGATATGATGGGAAATGTGTGGTTGTAAAAGAAGAAAAAAATATTGATGTGNAAAAAGAAGAAAAAATTATTGATGTGATGGAAAATATTATTTTATTGAAGAATGTGTGGTTGAAAATGAGAATTGATTTACTGTAGAAAAATTTAATCACTCCCAAACAGGGCCTTAGTATTACTTGGAAGTAAAAAGGAAATATTTAAACGGAAATAACTAATTTCAAATGATTTCCAAGTTCAAAGAGACTTTCCTTACCTCAACTCCTCCACCAACTCGGATTCTTCCAACTTAAAGCCTATATATACTCATTGTATCTCTTCTTCCAACCATCAAAAGTACAATAATCATCAACAATCAGTTCTTTCTGTATTTTTTTCGAATATAATTTTTCTTTTTCTTCTACTCAATTAATCCACAACAATGGTGCGTCCGGTTAAAGTGCGACAGGTTTGGCAATATAATTTGAAGCATGAATTCAGCTTGATATATCAAGTTCTCCCTCGTTTTCCATACGCATCTATGGATACCGAATTCCCAGGAGTAATCTACCACGATCCCGTCTTCCATTATTCTGCTCTTTCGGCCACTCAAACCTACTCCATCATGAAGAAAAATGTGGACGCTATGAAACTTATCCAATTCGGCCTCACATTGTCCGATGCAGAAGGCAATCTCCCTGATTTTGGGACTCCATATTGCTACGTATGGGAGTTTAACTTCCGCGAATTTGATGTTGACAAAGATCTCCAAAACCCAGATTCTATCGCTTTGCTCAAGCGCCAAGGCATTGATTTCTCTAAGAACAAGAAAATAGGAATATGTTCCTTTCATTTTGCCACGCTGTTCATGGCATCTGGACTTTCAATGGCTCCGACATGGGTAAATCAGAATAGGACATGGGTAACTTTCCATAGCACGTATGATTTCGGTTTCTTGGTGAAAATTTTGTCCCTACAAAATTTGCCAAATGATCTGTCGCGTTTCTTGGAATTGACGCGGATGTATTTTGGTATAAATGTGTTCGACATGAAGCAGATCATGCTATTTCATCAGGTTCACGGCGGTCTTGAGCGGGTGGCAAAAAGTTTGAATGTTGAAAGAATGGCGGGAAAAAGCCACCAGGCAGGTTCCGATAGCTTGCTTATGATGCAAACTTTTATGCAGCTGAAGAAGATTTATTTTAATGGTCCGAGAAAAGAGTTGCTGAATAAGTTTAATTACATGTTACATGGACTAGCCACAAATTAAAAGTTAGTTGTTTGCGTCTAAGGTTTTCTTCGTAGTTGTAATTTTTTATTTTTTTGCTGAGCAATAAAAAATGTCTTTTTCTTGTGTGTTTGCTAATCCTAAATATTAGAGAATCCAAAAGTACTTCAACTAAATTGACGAAAACTCGAGTTAACTGACTGTGTGTTGAATTCTAAATGAGTAACTTTTAAACACAATCAAACATATGTCTTTCAATCGAGAGAGATGAACATTGACAAAACATAAATGGCTTCCAACATGTGCTCCAAGCCACAAATGTCGAGAGTGAAAGTGCGATTCCAAAAGGTTATCAAACCGGGTGGCAGAGTTCCAAATTTCCATAAAAGTCTGTCGTGATTCTAACGACACAAAACGACAAATAAAATAGTGCTCAGAAAAATAAAATCACCATCGTAGTTTTCATTTACAAAACAAATATCTCTCTTACCAGATTTTGCCATCTGTGGTACACATCCGTTATATTCTGCTTCCTCCATTTCTTCAGGTTGAAGATATTCATTCCAAATGCCCAACCACAAGCACGAGGATCAAAATTTTCCGAAATAAGCGGATTTGAAAAGTTTAGGTAACCATCAAAGCTGTGAAAGCTTTCTCTACACGTGCTCACCTTACCCTTCAGATCAAGTGACCAAAGAGCCGTGAGATCCTTTTGGATCACTACATCATCATCTAAGAATAAAACCTTGTCGAGCTTCGGGAAGATCTCTGGGACGTAAAAGCGGAGATGATCCATGATAGAGACGTACTTAGGATTTCTGAATTTCAAGTTTGAATCAGATTCAACACGACGACTTTTGAAGTAATAATCAATCATGGACGAAGAACCCAACTGTTTAAGAACTGGACTGTAACTCAAATTCAACCATGTAAATTCCTCAACATTCTGAACCTGTATTGTAGCTTTGCCAGGTGGATTTGCCAAAAACCACTTCTTCATTGCAGCATAGTTGAGCGTGTCGGTGACGATGTGGAACACGTGGTTTGCAGGATCCTGCTTGGGATCACACAAGAATTTAACATCAAAATTTTGAAACTTGAAGTAAAACGGAATGAACACAAGATCTACATGTTTCTTCAACCTTCAAAGGAATCAACTGAAAACTAAAAAGTGAAATTTTCATAAGAAATTAATCCTTTTACCTTTGCATGAGTTATGGTTGAGTTCACTACAACTGCCGCTGCCAATATGTTATCAGAAAATAGGGCATAATGGTATAGCTTGGAATCTACTAATTTTTCTTCATTCGGAAAATGCCTTTCAGAAGAATTCGACATGAAAAACTCTGTTGATAGGCACAAAGGAAGACAATGAAGTCCTTTAGGAAGTGTTTTGGCAGCTATATGCATCAAAAACAAGGTCTGATTCTTGTGAGCTCGGAGTTGCACTTCTGTAAAATGAAGCATTGCGCGTAGCTTCTTCACTACAGCAGCATAATCATCTTGTATTTGCTTGCCTTTCGCCAAAGTTTGCTCCATTGCTTTTAACTTCTCGTTGGCAATGCAATTAGAGCACAACAAGTGTTAAGTTTACAATAACAAAAGAACGTGGAAAAGAAAGTAAAAGAAAAATGAAACCTCCAAGCCATTAAGTCAAAAGCTCGAGAGCCCCTAAACATTGAAAAGTAATGATATCCAACGATAAGACTTACTTTTTTGGTAGCTCGGAATCCTTGGTGGCATCCCCAATTTCTCGTATGACTTCCTTCATACGCAGTTGGAGCTCTCTTATAAAATGGGGATTGTTTCGAGTCACAGAGAGGGAAAGATAAACCTTTGCCCTAATAAGCTGATCCTTAAGATGACGAACACGTGCATCCAGCAAAACTGTTGGTTTGTTCTCTTTCTCAGTCGTAGTCTTCCCTCGTTCTCTGCTACCATCTTTGGTAGATATTCGGTAAGAATGTTGCTCGTGTTTTGTTTCCTAACAGGAACCCCATAAAGAAAGAGAACTGAAACTTTAGATGACAGTTAAAGTCTACTTCACATCTCAAACAAACTATAAGAGCTGAAATCTACGAAGCCAACCTACAGGAAGCAAGGCCATAACAAAAACTACATTTATATACCAACCATTTCAATAATTATATGTATTGCAAAATACAGATATAAGAAATAAGAACTCCACTTTTGACTGCCCCCTCTTTCCTTCTCTTTTTCTCTCTCTTTCTACACACACATAAAAATGTATTCATTAGCTTAAAGCATATTTTCGAAGCCTGACCAGTGACTACCCAAAACATGTCACATTACAATGTATTTATCCGGGACCTTAGGAACTAAATGTATGTCCCAAACCTTAAAATGAAGGGCATATGAATTTGAAACAGTAGGTATTTAGGTGACAGCAGAACTAATTGAGAAGAAAATAACTAATATATTTAAGTGACAGCAGAACTAATTATACCTTTCCTCCAGAGGAATTTCCCAATGTGTGCTCAGAATTCTGTGATTTATTTTCTTTCTTGGGATCAATTTGTGCTCCAATATCACTTCCATTTCCCCCAAAAAATTCATTTTTCTTTCAATTTTCCCTGTCGGTCCGAGCTTCATGCCCCGTATCAGTCACCTGTCATATCGATTTCCCATCCATAGCCCGCTTGTTGCCATCATTAGTGATCAATGATTCTAGCAAATGCAGCTAAACATTATTAAACGGAATATTTGATGAGTCGAATGAAATATAACCAAAAAGTAGACTTAATTGGATTCCAAGAAACTGAGGAACCTTCAGTGAGTTGTCTTGTGATTGGCGAATTCTCCAGGCTCGAATCATCAGAATAATTTAAAACAGGTTGAATTAAATTTTCAGAAGAAAAAGCCCCCAATGGTTCTTTCAGTATTGCAGATGACTCCTATGAAAATGCAGACATTATAAAAAATCTGAAATTTCCCAGAAAAAAAAAGGGAAAATCAAGAATCCAAACCTGAGGTATTACATTTAAAGACCTTATTTCATCGACATCTGTAAATAAAAAATCCAATAAACCAAGAACAGGGGAAAAAAAAAATTCTTTACCCCATCAAAAGCCTCAAAACAAGGGAAAAATCTATAATTATATATATATAAAAAAACTTTTTAATTATCAGTAAAAAATCAAAACTCACAAAGGATGAAACTTCTTCAAGAAATTCATTCCTAGCTGAAAAAAAAAAGGCACAGTTCAAAAGGATCCCTTAACATAATTCAGAGGAAAAAAAACACAGAAAATTGAGGAGGAAAAAAATGAAGTGGAAATCACAAGAAGGTGAAGTGTAATAGTTTCCAAGAGTATTAGTGTTAAGAACAATAGGGTATTTGAAAAAAAAAAACCCTTTTGCGACTTTTCTCAATTTGATGTCACAACATTCAAATTCTTCTATAATCAACTTTTTAAAAAAATTTACTAAAATCAAAAACAACTTTTGAGAATAAGAAGTTGGGCTCTAAAGTTAATGGACACGGAGCCTTACTATACTTTAAAGTTAATTTCACAAATTGTTAGTGAAAATTGTAACAAATTTCAAATTGATCATTAAAGTAACTTTCTTACTCTATTAGTCGATAATGTTTATAATGATTTCACGAATTTTCACTCCAAATAGAAAAGCTAAACATGAAATTTGACTAGTCGCCTTTAAATTGTCCGTGAACTATGCGATGCTAATCTATGAAGCCAAACTCAATTGAAATAAACTAATACAACGATAGTTGGAGAAAAAAAAAAATTTCAAAATCCATCTTTCATTTTATACCATAAAATCCATAGTACATAGCAGGGAAAAATATAAAATTCTGGTATTGAAAAGAGGTCGTTACCCGTGGCCGGTTCGAAGGGACAAAAGTTTAGAAACGACAAATTAAGCAACATAAATACATGCATTCTTTTTTAAAGATAATCTCTAAACTTTGTTCAACCCAACATCAAGTGGCTGATTAATCACAGAGTTCCAAAAGCAATCTACAGGATCAAGATCACCAACTTTGAATGACCACAAATCATCATCAAACTTTTTCTCATCAATAAAATTTTGATCATACAAATCCTGCACACAAAATTGATCAAAATCTGGTGTTGAGGTGGTGGGAAATTCATCAAAATATGAACAAGAAAGTGCAAATATATCTTCCAATTCAAAATTTTCATCCCCTTGAAAGATTTTCACACCCTCTTTGAGCCAAGGGAAATCAAAAACTCCAATCTCATCACAGAATTCATAGCCCTTCTCTTCTTTGTCGTAATCAAATTCGGGTTTCTTCCCTCGACAAGTTTCTTTCTTCTCTTCTTCATCTCTCGCTCTTTTTCTGTTTTCCCTTTCCATTGCTGAACAAACACCAATGACCAAAAACTTCAAATGAAAAACAGATAATTTGTTATGGGTTTTGTCTGCTTCAAGTATCATAGCCCGAATAGCTCAAACGAACCATTCGAACCCGACATAAACATGAGTGAATGCATAAAATAATTTCAAACAAATTACCCGTTCTTGGTGTCTCCTTTTTGGCTTTAACTTTCCTGGATTTTGGGTTACACAATAAGTGATTTAAAGCAATGAACAGCCAGTAGACGCCTTTACCCAAGCATATTTCTCCTTTTATCTCTCTAGTTCTGTGGGTATAGTATTAGTGTATAGAATATATATCCACATTGGATTTGGTTTGGAATCCTATTTTTACGCTTCTTTCATTTTAATTGCAATAAAAATGCCAATTTTCTGTTACGTTCTTCCTTGAAATATGATTGGACTTTTGCCACACACTTTGTTTACCAAGTTTGGCCATCCAAATTTGTGCAACCAACAAATCGTTTTCTATTTTTAGACTAAAATGACAATGTTAGTATTAATAGCCTTCATAAGGATTAAACCATATGTACTGAAAAAATTTTGACATAAGTTTTACACCCACTCACGTGTGTGGGGCCCACCGGAATAAAAAACGAAAAAAAAAACCCACCCACCCCCCTACATTGTGAGTATCTTGTTTTCTTGTGTGAATCATGCTTCTATACGTGAAGCATAAAGAACCACCACGTTCAAATTTTTGAACCTATATAGATTTTAGACTTTGACCCAAATGCTATGTTAAACAACCTTATCCGAGAACATAAATTTCATATAACGATCATTTTACGAAGGAAACAAAATCATGAAGACCTGTAAAGAGACGACATATTCAATGATGATTGGTTGGCAACATAGGAAACTGACAGAAACGTAAATTACACACAATCTACACGATTTCGCAGTTTGATGTTCGTTAGCATCATCCAAGAATATGTAGATCCAATACAGTGTACAATTTCATTTTCCTGATGTGCCCAACTTGGCATAACGTATGCATTTTAGTCAAACTTACCTTTCTTTGTACAACCAGCGACAAAGGTATCTTAATCTATTGTCTAATTTACAGTAAAATAGATGGGAAATGCAGAAAGACGTAAAGACACCACACACGTAATGTTGCAATGCGAAATTTGTAGAATGAACATGAAATGTTGGACGATAGGAAAAGAATCTTCATCAATTCTTGCCAACAAATATCAACTGCAGCAACCTCCACCTTGTGAAGAAACATTCCCGCTACCAGACGAGCCTGGGATTGGACCATGACCAACTTGGATTCCATTATGCTGCAAATAACAGCAGACAAAATTGAAAACAAAAAACGAAATACCGTCGTTGAATTGAATTTTATATATATGGTCAAGTAACGGATTTATATAAATGATATCTAAAGTGGAAGGAGCATTTCAAGCATGAAAGAGCAATCAAGAGGGAATGAACTGGCTAACCCCATTCAACTCGAGAACTCCGTCCTGCAAGTTTTTGTATATTGTTGCAGCCGCTTTTACAAAAGCCTGCACATAATCTTTTGTTAATGGAACAGGAAAGGTGAAAAGCAAATAGAGGAGAAAATTAAAAATCTAACTGCTTCACCACCTCATCAACATTCTTAGCAGTTTTAGCAGATGCTTCCATGAAAAGCAGTCCATGTTCTTTTGCGAACTGCTCTCCTTCTTCCATGCTGACGGCCCTTCTCTGTGCAAGATCACATTTGTTGCCTATCAGCATGATTGTCATATTTGGGACTGCATGCTGCCTTGCATCTTCTAGCCAGCTAGACAAATGACTAAAGGTTTCCCTCCTGACACATGATAGAAAACCAATCAAAAATTAGAATTATTTGGCTAATCCTCCTATGCTATCTTACTCACATTTTGATCTAGTGGTTCATAGATACGACGGCAAATGAGCTGAAATGCATGCAACATCCGGTAAAATGCATATACCGAAGTTCATACTTTTTGTTGACATTTTTCACGTTAATTAATTTGTTTGAACCATACAGTGGAATTCTTAACCTTGAACTGCTTAACATTTTCAATCATGCATGACTGCCCTGATGTACACATGATACAGAGTGCATAAAGCCATAGTTTGTCTGATTCCAAAACATAATGAAATTGTAATATAGTGATAGTCATTGCACTCAGCGTAAAATTTAATTCAAGGAGACCTAAAAATGGAGAAAAGCCACTACGATTCTAGATGTTCAAATGCTATATGTGCCTGCATAAAACAAAACTTTTTCCTGTGAGTTACCAATTTTCAGCAACATGATTGATTATTTTAGGAGAAGATATTTCGGGGGTTGAAATGGCTGCACGAGAACTGCCCTCACTACTTTCGGGCAGCAAGGTATGAAAAGCAAAATACTTGCAGATTGAGCTACAAAAATCATTAAATTCTATTATCTGTGAAACCTAGCATAGTGTTATTCAAGTGCCACCTTGTTATATCATAGACTAAAAGTGCACCAGCAGCCCCTCTATAGTAAGACCTTGTGATGGATCTGAATGATTCCTGACCAGCCTGACAATTTCAAGTAACTTCAGTTTAGAATTCATATTGCCTCCTCAAGCTAACAAGCTTCAAAATACTCGGAAAATACAATACACAACTACACATATTTTGAGATTAATTAAAGTAATAAACTATCATTATATATCAATGAGAATTCTTGTAAATAAGTGTTGTGAAAGACAATTATCAATATCATACGTGAATAGTTTCAATATCAAGGAGTTACTTGGACAGAGAAGGCAGAAGTACATGCTTGCAGGTATCTTTTTCCATGTGACAACTATAAATCTACACTTTCAACATTTATTGGAATTTGGATAATTTGCAATTCAAAAGAACGTTAAATCACATGCAGCTCAATGGTGAGTAGGAGATCAAAACAGAAGCAACACTGAAAGGAGTGAGTGCTTTACAAGACCAGTTTTCAGAATGGTTATGCCTAAAGATGATCAACACCTTGATTGTTGGTCAGAGTCTCAAAATATTTTCTGGAGAACTGATTAATTGCAAAATTGATATTTATCTAATCGTCGCCCTAAATAATTCTCAATATCGAAATCAGTGTCCAGTGACATAATCACGAATACTTGTAATCAACCATCCAGAGCCACATGAGAAATGATTTAACTGTAATGTTTTCAAATCAGAACAAGTAGAAAATGAATAGAACACCGACCGTGTCCCATATTTGTAACTTAATGGGTTTATTATCGACTGTTATCAACCTTGCCCCAAACTCAACGCCAATGGTTAAGTCATGCACAGGCTGAAAACGCTTGTCAGTAAATTGAAGAAGAAGACACGACTTTCCCACTCCTGCAGAAGAAGGTATGGTGTAACAATGTATTGAATCATCTCCCAGCAGCTTTTTAAAACAAAAATGTAAAATTGCAGGATGAAAAAAATCATCGTTTATGAATCTTAAGCAGGAACTTCATTAAATCCTCATGAAGCTGGTAGCTTTGAATTTCCAATAAGACTACTTATTAATCAGAAATTCAATATCACGAAGTAACAGAAATTATCAGAAACTAAATAATCACAAATATTTAAATGACAAATAAGATTTACATTAACGACGAATTCTCGCACCAATAGAATTTACACGAAAAATACATATAATTTCAATAAAATTCAATAATTATCTGCTATCAGAATGACATTGAAATCAATATACGCAAGCTAAGAAAAGTTACCAGTATCGCCAATGATAATAAATTTAAAAAGGTAAGCGTACGACATGCTTTCTCCAGTAGAACATCCGTCGAACAAGGAGAACTGGAAAAATTCAAACAAAAATTTCAATTTCGAACAAAGATACGAATGTTGAAGATGATAATAATGGAGTTGTGATTGTTTTAAAGGGGGATTGGAGTAGTTCTTTCAACATTTTTTTTTTTTTATATTTTTCAACCTTCAATTACTTCGGCAACCAAAAAATTAATATTATAATACAAATAAATCAATTTCTTGACACGTCGTATCTTGTGAGGGAAATTTATTTTTGATTTTATTATTTTATATATATTTCTTGACAAGGTCTTATCTTTGGAACTAAGTAAAATTTTAATATACGTATTGATGGACGAGTTGTCCCTCACTGTTGCATTCTGTTAGGTTTTGGATTTCAAAAATAAATGTAGTTGAATAGAACAACATACGTGTTACACGTTTCACTGTGCGGAGATGTGAGGTGCAAGTGGTAATGATTGGGGCATGCATTAGCATCCTTGATGGATACTCGAGAACCTGCAAAGCTCATCCTCCTGGACAAAGAATTCATTCAAGAATTGTGATCACGAGATTCAGGAGATGAAACATGAGACTTATTCTCTTTTTTGTGAAGTGTTTTCTGAACATCATTTTTCCGTTGAAAATACCTACTATAATACCCAAGGAGCCTTTATCAAATTATCTAGGGAGAAGCGAGCTAGACACTCACTTGAAGTGGAGCCCGGCAAAAAGAGACATGACTCTCATCTTTCCTTTTTCGTTTAATCATTTCATTCGTGCCATGTCATATGTAACAATGGACGCCTACTACTCTACCTAGATTTGGTTAAATCAGATGGTTTAAAAATAAAAAATTTGTCGTTAGTTAGCCGATTGATCAGTTGTGAAACAAAGTAAAAACATAGTTCTTGCAATAAGTAAAATGCATTTAACAATTAAGCACTTGTGTCAGATTCTTTCCACCCAATAAAGAATCATAAAATCAATGTAATTCTTGATGCTGATGGGATTTTATGAACCTCCAGAAGAAGCAACTACTATTGGACTCCTCACATAATGCTTTCCATCAGACCATAACAACTCTCCAAACACATAATCGGTAGAAGTTCTTTCTTCTTCTTCTTCAATAATCAACTTAAAAGTCTTTTCTTCACCAATTTTCTCAAACTTGAGAGATTTTGGTTCTAAAGAAACCGAAAATCCTGGTGGTTGTCGAATACGAGCAGTATAGATACCCGGTTTGCCAACATTTTTCAGTTTTCTTGTCACTGTTTGTGATCCATCGAGACTCGGGATTGTTATAGAGGGGTTGTTGAAGTTTGTGATTTCATACTCCTTTGGACATTCATAATCCCCGTCTGAGAATGTACGAATCATTGTTTCGTTATAACCAATGCCACACAGGAAATCTAGATAATCGTTGACATCCAAGTCGTAAACCAATCCAGGATCCATGGCACGGTTTGGTCGTATGTGTCCAGAACCATATCCGAAAGGTGTAGCTTTCTCATAAGTTGAATCGAGCATTGGATGCCTCGTGTTGTCTCGTGTTCTTGCTGAGTTTAAAGCGTGATTACAAAACATCTCATCAGTGAAGGTTGAACAATATATACAAATTTTTTAGAACAAAATTCGGGGATTTGGGCCTTTACCGGTTGTCATAATTGCAGATTTTATTGCTGCTGGACTCCAGTCAGGGTGGAGCGACTTAAGTAAGCCTACTACCCCGGAAACATGAGGGCATGACATTGAGGTCCCGGATTCTGTATTAAAGGGAGTCGTGCGTTTATCAAATTCTTCTCCTGTAGGGCTTACTCCTTCGGAGTATGCAGCAACGATATTCACCCCTGGCGCGGTAATATCCGGCTGCATACACCACCAACTGTAGTTTAGTTTATAAAGTCTAGCGAAAAAGAGAAAAAAATAGAGTTCCTGACCTTGAGAATTTCTGGAGTAACTGGATTAGGCCCCTGAGACGAGAATGAGGCCATAAATGGAGCAGGCTTTTTGTTCAATATTTCCCTTGGAGCTGTAATTAGCCCTTTTGGATGCCTGCAAGTATCAATGTATGAGACATTTAAGAAAGATTAGTTTAAGTGAAACATAGACAGATATAGAGAGAGAGGAGAGGTACTTTGTCGACTTGACGTAGGCAAAGACGGCAAGGCCATCTGTGTAATTGATTTGTGTAGCCGGAAGAACATGAGGATCAGCCATAAGTTCATTACCACTTGCCTCGTCGTTACATAGAATCATCCCTACAGCACCAGCTACTAAAGCCTGTTCACCTTTGTCGACTCGAGCATTTTCCCCCCGAAGGCAGACCAGTATCTTACCCTTCACCTTCTTGGGTTCTAATGCTCCTTCTTGGCATAGTATCCTGTTTAAAGTCATCCAATGAGATACAAGAATTATGTTTACATCGTATTAGGCGAGATGGAACTGGACAGTATTCTTACGCGTCGAGAGCAGATGCATTGGCAGCCTTAGCTTTTTCAGCACTAATAATTGGATAATATTTATCATTTGGCAATGATTTAGAAAGGCTCGTCCCCTGATTAGATACATAAGCATTAAACAAGCCAAGAACGAAAAAAGTTGTATGTGGCAAATCAAATCGACTGTAAAACAGAAGACTGAACCTCTAGGATCATTCCATTACTCAGCTTAACGTTAGCTTGGAACTCTCGATCAATGGTGCTTGCTCCAACAGTTAGAAGCCACGGTGCAATATTTGACACAGATCCAGGGGCTGGACCGGAATTTCCAGCAGAAGCTACGACTACGATTCCCTTCTTTACAGCATGAAACGACGCGATGGCTATGCCATCTTCGAAATAGTCTACAGCATCTCCACCGAGAGAGACTGAAAGCACATTTACGCCATCATGCATTGCCATATCAAAGCCTTCTATTATATCAGAAAAAAGGCATTCTGAGCCATTGATTGGAGGCCAGCATACTTTGTAAGCAGCAGCTCGAGCTTTTGGAGAACCACCTTTTGCTGTTCCATTTCCCACACCAAATATATTTGCTCCTGGGACGAAGTTTCCAGCAGCAGTGGATAGTGTATGGGTGCCATGTCCATCATAGTCGCGTGCAGTGTTCTTCGAAGAACTAACTTTGCCTCCATACGCAACATAGCCTTTATTGAAGTACCTAGCTCCAATCAGTTTCCTACAAAAAAATTTCACGATATAACGAAAAGAATTTGTGAAATATTCTCACATCCACCACTCAAAAATCATAAAAAACAAAGGAAAGTCCAAAAACATGATTCAAGAAAAATCTTCTGATAATACTGCTATCTGCTGTCTACTGTTAAAAAAGGTTCAATTAACAATTTTTTTGACAACTTCAATATGAATAGAGGTTTGTTTTCTGAAGGCAAGGGTCCATGCTGTATTGTCACTATAATTGAATTTTTTAGCTTTTCAAAGGTGCAGAGTATAAAATGATATTTAATGCATGTTGTGGTACACAGTACTCAACTAGACGGAAGACAGAAATTTAGTTTCCTTCTCTACTTAATACTGTCAAGTCATGGCCAGCCCACCTTACTAAACAAGCCGTAAGGGATATGAATAGCATAATATTCTATTCTTGGGAGGGAACTCATTGATGTATAGTGTGTACTTCCACGAAAGTTTTATTGACAACGAGAAACTAGCGCATAGGCACCATGTACTTGAAGCACGGTTTACTCTCAATGAAATGCTCTCGTGGCTCCCTGGTCATTCCAATATTCCTTCCTCGCTGGGATGCTTATTACTCTTGGAGCAATGAAATGCATGATAATTGAGAAAGATTCAGAAGACCAGACAACCAATACGAATATTTCATTGTTACATAGATCATCCTTACTTTATCCTCCACAAATCACTGTATTATTAACGTCGCTGTTAAAGAAAGTACCTGTTGCAAGGGGCTCCAACGTTGCCATCAAGTTGACAGATTCCTTTCCATTTAGAAGGAATGGGGCCGAATCCTTTGCCATTAAAGCTTTCTGATTCAGGCCATACGCCTAACAAAGAAATGGATAATTATTGATTTCATGATCCAACTTAAAATTTAAATTACAGGATTGGTTAAGAGATTCAAAATTTAATTTCAGGCCATACGCCTAACAAAGAGATTCAAAAGGTGGAAATTTAATCTTACCAGTATCAAGATTTCCAATGATTGTATCTTCACCAAACCCCGACTTTACCCATAATGACGAGGCGTGAATTTTACCATTTCTTTCCAACATAAGAAAATCCCATGAATGTGTTGTGTGTAAGTTTCTTCCTTGATCCAAGAAAATAGATAGTACATCTGGATGCTCTTCATTGACACAAAAAACACAAGTTTTAGCACAAAACTGATATATGGAGTAGTTGACAGTATAATGAACGAAAACATTTTTTTTCTTTATTACCAAGCATGCTATAAACCTAGTACATAGGAAACATAGGAATAAATGCAAGAAATTATGTATTGTCATACTTGCTATTTCTGATGCATCTTCCTCTTCAAGAACCGCGGCAAAACCATTGATATGTCTCTTATACGAATAAATTATCGCATCCTTGGCCTTCTCTGTACTATAAGAAAGTAAATTCATCCCACAAAAAGAAAATAAGTGATTATACATACAACAAAATAAGAAGATTTCTTGACAAACGCATACTAATTATCCATACCTTCCCAAGAATGAACCTAGAAACTCATGATGGAATTCTTCGACCCGGTGAAGGTCAGCAGAAGTTACTTCTGAACCATGTGAATGTCCTCCCAAGTACACAATATATGACTGTCAAAGAAAAACGTAATTATAAGTAATAAGAAGAAAAAGCAATTATGCATGATGGAAAATTTCAAGAATAATGGACAATGAGCACCTTTTTGATGGCTAAAGCCGGTTCTTGGAACAACACAAAAAGAATGAACAGTGCATGAATATATGAAAACTTTGCAGAAAACATTTTGTTTTTGTCACTGTAAAAAGCCACTCTCGGATTGATACCTTATTATATAGTGCTTAATAATTAAGCAATATTTTTTAAAAGCAGTTGATACTTTCGTATCTATCTATATATTTGTCCTTCCATTTAAAGTTTAAACGCTGTATTGTATTTTTCTAAGGAAAGAATAATTATTCAAACAGAAAACACTAAAATCTGGGGATTAGTGCTAATCAAAATTTCTTTGATTGAGACTAATCTGTTCAGATATGCTGAGTATATCTAATCGAAACTGAAGAAATTTAGAGACATTTTTTACAAAAAAAAAAAATATAATTTTTTAATTCATTTTTTTGTTCAATTTGGGACTCTTTTAACTAATGAATTATTTGTATTTTTTTAATTTAAATAGTGGATTATTTGTTTGTTGCGACAAAGATTTGTATAGAATAGAACGGATCAGAAAATGCTAATCAAAGGTGACTCAAACAATTTGAGAACTTTAGGCAAAATCGTTAAGGTGTCTTTTCGATAGCAAATGATAAGATGGCAAAAGTTTTGACAATTGGTGATTTAGATAGAATTATCGATAGCGATTATCAATAACAATGTCATCAACGATATCGTCGGGAATCACCAAATAGGGTTTCAAAAAGTCGTCAGATCGTTGATAGTGGCGATTCAGTCTGAAATCAGTATACGCAAAAAGAAAATAGAATTTGGAACAAATGGTTTCTCAACATTTGCCTTGAGTGTACAAATGGTCCCTAACGTTTAATTCTTGGCATGAACATCCTAATCTATGCGTTTTGATTGCAATTGGCACTTTTGATAAAAAGACCAATATGCTCTTAATTATACTTAGGAAAAATTACACTGAGATCCCTAACCTTTTGATAAAGTACAAATGGATTCTAAACCTTTATTTAATAATATATTATTTAGAGTACAAAATTTATCATTATAGTCATATCAATTGAATTTTCTAGAAAGAAAAAGAAAGTCAAATTATCGTGTACAGTGTTTGTAATTGCTTTTTGATGTGAAAAAATTGAATAAAAATTAGATAAATAAATTGGTAAATAAACTGACGACGAAGAAGGCTATTACCATATTTTTTAACTCATGGCTCTGATTTTTATCTCTCTTAACAAAAAGGACCCGTGTTAATATCTTTTACATAATGAGAAAATATTAAGGCTATTACCATATTTTTCTCTGTTAACAAAAAAGACTCGTGTGCAAACTACTAAGAGGGTGTTTGGTGGTGATTAAAATTAGATTTTTAGTGGATCGTGATAGAAGTTTTTTGAAATGTGTGGTTGAAAAGACGTGAGACTCATGAAAGATGTGGTTAATATTAATTGCTTGACTTTGACGTATATTAAAATTAGATTTTAATCTGACTCAAACAGGCTCTAAATATTATGTTTGTCTACAATCAAGAAGAAAAGTAAACAGTATAATTAAACTCTACCCGTCCAAAAAAATGCTCATGCACATGTTAGAAATTAAAATAATGTGGTAAAATAAAAGATGTATCTTTTAATAAGTAGAGAAAGTCCAAAAATCCAACCTGCAAAACCCATGCATCTTTGTATCCATCTATTGGAACTATACATTTGTTAGAAATTAACAATGCTTCCTTGCCGTCTTCTTGATGACTCCTCTTCTCCATTCCAATGTATTTTCTCTTGTCTTGGCCTTCAACTCTTCTTCTGCTCTTCATTCTTTTACAGAGAAGATGAAGAATATATAAAGAAGAGGGACATGAATACCCTATATAAACACCAACTCTAAGAAAATATAGGAGGTACTTCATCGAGCTTGTCACAATTTTCAAACGATGCAGATTTGCAGTAAGTGTTTCTATCCATTCATGTAACCGACTTGAAATGTACTAAGAGTGATATTTAATTTGTTTCATGAACCAAGTTTTGAGCAGTATTCAGAATTTAACTGTCTTGCATATATTAGTCGTGTTTATTGACATTGAAATCTGCCTGGCTCCCTGGATGCCACCTAAGAAGCTTTATCGAAATTCAAGTTTGATGACTTCCTATTTGGCGTCAAGGGAGTCAAGCAGATCTATTACAGTGTCAAACACAACAACATTGTAACAAAGAGTACGTTACTTTTCACAACTTCAATTCGTCTTACATAATTTTTTTCATGGTTTATCATGCTCATGCTTTAGATTATACTTCTATAAGTCTCTGCAGAGAAATAGTTCAGAACTTGTGTGCAGCAATGTGATCCAAATAGTCATAAAAGTGAAAAATTAATAGCAAAGTTTGAGGGGACAATATGGTCCTATTCTCGAAGAGATTGTTCCTAACATGCACACGTTACTATTTTTCCATATAACTTGTACATTTACTTAGGTGAGACGTGTTCGACTGATTCAATATTGATAAATTGAGAAAAGATGGTCGAAGGGTTGGGTGTCCCTGTTCATTCTCAATGATTTTATTTTATTTTTTCATGTTCATTTTCTGTGATTGTTTGCATACAAGTCAACAATTTGGAAGCTACCAAATTCAAATTTTCAAAATCATGTGTCGCTTTTATTGAAGTTATTTCGACTTTGTACAACTCCTTATCTTTTAAGTAATCTCGTGTAAGTTAATTTTACCAGAATCATAACCAGATGAGAGAGAAATCCTGTCCCTCTTTTTCCTAATACTGCATAGTTCTACTCTCCAAGAACTCGACTATACCAAAGTTTTCTTATTTGTATTCACGGCTACTCCATGAGAAATGGTTGTGTGTGTATACATCAACATTTAAATGTACCCCAGAGGCACCACACAGCATTCGTGCCTGCAAAATAACGTTTTTTGTTTTGAACCTCTCAAAAAGACGTTGATTTTTCTATCAAATTAGCTTCAAAGATTTATAAAGCTCTTACAAAAACGAGTCTCATTCATATCTTTCCAATTTAAACCAAACCAGAAAAACAGAGTAAATACAGAGCACGGTTTAAACTACAAGTCTAATACATAATAAATACAATGTTGAGTCTTCGAAAAAGGTAATAAAGCCATCATTTTCCCACTTATCAAAGGAACAAAAGAATTCACCATTTCCTTTATGCATCCGATAGGTTGATAGTTTTGTTTGTAGACCTCAAACACAGAACACGATGTTGTCTAGATGCAGGAAAAAAAAACCATTACTGTCCGGGACTGAGGTACTTGAGGCGGTCTTGAACTTAGGTATCATCGACTTGAGAGTGAAATACAAAGCTCGGGAATGTGGTGGTAATGTCTCTGTCCATGAAAGAAAAATCAGGATTAGTGGCTGAGAATTTTGTGTTCAAAGCAGCAAAATAACCATGAAAGGACAGTTCAAATTTGGCTAGCAACTTACTACGCCTGCATAAGCACTCTCTGAAACCTAGATATGATTTTTGAGATCTGAGACAAATCCTTAAGAATAACACTATATATGTATAGTAGAGAAAATACAAGCTATCAGTGGCACCAGATTTAATTTCCAAGAAAAAAGAGATGACAGCAAAAGTTTGAAATATTGTTGGAAAATCAGAATCAGGATACAATGAGTGTGTCAATGAATGCACCAATCACATTTCCGCAAAAACTACCGCGACAACATAAAAAAACTGTGCGCATCTTTATGTGTGTATGCTTGTGTTGGAGGAGCAATTATCATTGGATCACTCAAACACAACTGCACAAGGTCCGTGCCCTGTCTCTTGTGACTTGGGGACATAGGACTACATTATGGTGTGTGAAAAATGAAAACTCGATTTCAATAGAACTATAATGTGAAACCTACCAGCTTCAGCTTGGTCATACCAAGCGCTCAACTATATGGAGAGATCGACTTAAAGTGCACCTTTAGTAGGCAGTACTCTTGACAGGATAGTAACAAGAATTTAGCATTTTTTTTTTTTTATTGTTGTCAAGTGCTATCTAATCCTAAGCAAACATGCCAAAAGGTCATAAAATCACATCAACGAGATATGTCATGCATACTTAAGGTATTGAAGAGTCATATTCTTCAGGAGAGATTGATGTCGCATTACAAGATTCCGCCACTCTTCTTTGTCAATCTTCCCATCATGTTTGGTATCAGCTTCCTCAAAAGTCTGAAACAAAGCAGATATGTATTATCTCGTGATTAATGTCCGTGTTCATGAGAATAGTGGAAACTTATTCTAGAGGAATTCATGACATCACATTGAGGGTTTGATCCCATCTGAAAATAGCTAAAGAAAGACCTAACCAATTATTTGTACTTCATTACGGACTCTTCTGGCTGTTTTCAGAAGAACTTGTATTTTACCAGAAAATACTCCTTTATAGTATTTTCCTCACTTCTTTCCACACATTCATGGAGTGTGGTATTATCTACCTTACTTTAAAATCCGTTTCCATAGTAGCCAATTGCAGAGTAGAAATTTCAAATTAGTTTTTCTTGAATAATGACTTTTAGTAGAAATGCAAGAAATTGGATAAAATATTCATATCGCAACTATACCATTTTCATTCTTTGCCATTCAGAAATCTAAGAAGTCACTTTGAAGTGAAGCATTCTTAAGTGCTCCATCCTAAAAGAATGTGTCGTTTATAATGCTTAGAAGAAGAGAATATCAATGTCATTACAAGTTCCCTAGTCTATTATTCAGGCAGTAAAATGCTCACTTACTGAAAAATAAAGAGAATAAGTAATAAACCTCAATCAAGCATGGAAGCAAAATACAATTTGAATAAAATTGACCAGCCTAGAGGCTCACCTTGTCGATAATACTTTCTATTACATCGTCTGAAAGATTCATGCCAGATTCAGCAAGTGTGGCCACTACCATTTGCTTTACCTATGATGAAACAATAAAAGAAAAAAAAAACATAACTGTGTCGAGTTCTGCCACTGGGACACTTATAAAACTTAAGCTACCATCCAGCAGCATCCCCACCCCAAACTTGAAAGAGCCGGATATTGTAAAATAGATTTCCCAATAATCATAAAAGGCAAATTTTAAAATTCCATTTCCTTGTAAAAGTAAAATCATCCTCGTATTTAAAATAAAAACTACAGTGAAGCGTGAACATAATATTCAAAAATGGACTCTGTCAATTTTAAAATTTACCTCCTGTCTTTCAATGAATCCTTGCTGCTTGAGATCATATAACTGGAATGAAACTGCAAGGGAAAAGGTTAGGTATCACCAGCTAGAAGCAAAATTAACATCATAATGTAATTCCAGGTTTGAAAGACTAACAGCTGGTAGGATTCAAACACGCTTAAGATACAAAACAATTGCCAAGATCCCCTGATGTTATAGTGAAGGTGCATTCATATGAGATGCATCATTTTGGTTAATGTACATATATTTCTAACACCTTCGACCAGCCCCCCATCCCACCCCCAACTCAAAACAAAAATCACAAAAAAATGAAAAATGAAAAAATAAACCAAATTGCATAAATAGAAAATTAAAAACACTGGCATTCTATGTTATTTTACAAGCAAAAAATGTAAGAAAATAGAAAGACAAGCAAAAATGGTATAGGGGAAATAATAGCAATGAAAGGATGGCACTCACAATCAATTTTATCATCAATGGGAGCATTGGGGTGAAAGACTGAAAGAGCACGCGCAAACTCGTCAAAGTCTAACAACCCATTGTGCTTTTTGTCGAACAAATCGAATACCTGGAATGTAAAGAGATTTTGAGATAAATAGCAATAAGAAATGCTTTCCTGCAACACCATTATCAAAAACTCAACAGGGAAACACACCCATTGAATAATGTGGTTACTAGAGAGCAAATGCATGACCTCCTCAGACTTCCAAAATGTCCAATGGCTCAATTAGACACAGACACCCAGTCAATCATGTATGCAGCTTAGAATGTGGTGTGGAGAAGATAAAGTCATAATGCAATGGCTTTAAAGACAGACATTGGATGTATCAACTACTTTGGATGGCATGTGAAAACTAACCCTGTCGGCAAACAAGCTCTCCTTTTTGTTCGTCTTAAATAATGCTAGCTGGAACTCTTCCTGAAAATGAAGAAAGCAGCAAGTACAAGATAAAGGTTCAGTAACTGAACCAGAGACGAGATAAAAATCACAGGGAAAATGTAATTTATAATACTGATATGTGGATGCAAAGAAATAAAGTAACTAATTAACTAAACTTAACTAATAGCTTAATGGATAACATTTGTTACCTTGTTGATGAGCCCATCATCAATCACAGCACTGCTGATCTTCTTAAACAGTTCGTACAATGCTTCGATTTCACTAACACTGACTGCATTTGAGTTTCAAAACAGACCTAATTAGCACGCAATCACAGTGCTTAATTTAAAGAAACATATAATCAGAAATTAAAACAATCTGCAGGATATTGCATTCAAGTCTCCATGACAAATTATAATCCACATTAAAAGAAAAAATACACAGTGCCATACTGACAGTTACTTTTTGCTCTCTCCAGCTTAAATTTAATTCCTGACAAACCACACAATGGCCTAAACATACAAACAAACACACCATGGAAAGAAAATTCCAAGTGAAATAGCACTTTGACTGCTTAAAAATAATGGTCAACAACAACCATAAAAAAGCCTTGTTCCCAATAAATTTGGGGTCGGATATATGAATCCTTTTTCGTCATTCCATCCTATCTATCACTATCTCTACAAGATGCAATGCAACCAAAGTCTTGACAACCGCATTATGTCATATTAATTTTAATCTAGCTCTTGGTTCTTGTGAATGAGAGCTTCCTTAGATCTAAGCAAGACACACCTCAACCACCTAACTCATCATTTCCTTAATTAAGTTGGTGCCACATTCATTTGTTGGCATATATTTTCATCTCTACCTCTGTCTAGTTTCATAAGATTGCACAAACTATCTTAGCATCATCATTTCGCCGTGTTCATTTTATAAAGATTTTGTCCTCAATGGCCTGACCCCTAAAGGTTGTATAACTTGCCTTTTAAAAATAAAGAGGTATCTTTTTGCCGCATAAAACCCCTAAAGCCTTCTCATTTCATCCGTCCTGCTCCTACACATTACATTCTCCTCAAGTCCACTTCCTTACTAATAATCTAACCTATATGCCTAAAAGGGCAATCAACTTTTGGGATTATAGACTACCATCCTTATTCACAAAGCTCTCATGAAATGGGATCAAGATAGAGGCTTAGTCAATTCAGAGTACGTCCAGCTGACGTATAAAAAGGATATTAATAAATAAGAAGGCTTTGTTTTTGTCATTCTTACACTTTACTGGTATTGAATTCTCAACTTTTATGAGCGCAACAACCATAATAACAGCTATTTAATGATGTTTCCCAGGGATGATCTATTAGCTTTGGTAAGGTCTCTAACCTTCTCAATAACACATCATAAACCCTTTTGGAATTTTTAACTTTTGTTTTCCTGCTCTTTTCCATTTACGGCAAAGCTTTAAATGCTTTGATGTCCCTATTCTGGGGGAGGTGGGGACCACATTGCTGCAAGTGGGTGGTCCTGTCAGTATTAATGTTGGCACAATATGACTGAAGGAACGCAAGTAACGGAGACAATAAAAAAGGGGGCCTATCTAGGTTTCACTTTATACACGAAAGATTACATCCGAAAAACTCTTGCTTAGTGCTAGTGTTTCATATAACGAATCTTTCTATCAGTTTGGCAAACATTCTCTACCAAACCACTAAAGAACAGCAACCAACTAGTTACCAGCTCATTTAGTTATAAATTTGTAAAACCAAACCATTTCCACCCACATAACTACTACTTATGTGGCCTGCTATTCCTGCTGGCAGATCCAAACATGAGATGGTTCCGGCATCACTTTTCCACCCCTATTTTTTCCCACGCAAGTTTGGTCTATACAAATCTGCAGCAGAACATAATACCTGAAAACTATATTACAGGACAAAATAATTTGAGAACTACTAAAAATTTTATATGTAATGATAGAAGCAAGCCCAACACACGGTTTAATATTTCCTTATGTGTATTTTGTTTTCCCAATGTGCTCATTTAGATCTTCATAAGCATATTTGTTCATTATAGCCAGATATGCTAAGAATATATTTAGAAGCAACTGTTAGAAGGGCTAGCTCATCAGTTCTGTTTCAATATCTCATTACTCCTCTCAGCAATGTTGTTAACAGCTATTTGCAAGGGCCAAGATGAAATTGATTGTGAGAACCCAGTTAAATGACATCTTTACATAGAGCAGAAACGTAAAACCGAGGCAGGCAGCATTTATAAAACATTCAACTACTGCTTAAAAATGGAAAGTATCCAGACATACACACAGTCTCCCTTGCTAGAGCTTCAGGATTTTCCAAGCCCCCTGGCTGCTTATATATTTCAGAATCGCAGCAATTCACAACAGCAGAAAGCAGATGCTTCACTCCTTCTAAGCACTGCACCATGATCTTTTCTAGGAATCAATATGCTCCATTTCTGGACACCAATAAATGAGTCGTTTAACTTTATGTTTTGACATGCAAGCAATATATGAATCCATCCAAAAACCCCGAAGAAGAAATCAACGCAAAAATTGCAATCAAATGGTTTCGAGATAGATCAACAGATAATTATTGTCAAAACCACAGGAAAGAAAATAGTTTCAAAACACCCTGATGGCTTATAGGTTCAGTTAAAGATGGAATTTAATGTTCATTGTAACTGGACAGATTTGATATTCCACATATTGGTGTACTAAGTGTTCTGAAGATCATAATCAGTCTCTTCATCCTTTTATTTTGTTATTTTGTACCTCAACCATTAGGAGAGACCTTTTCTGCATGAAACTAGGGTTTAGTGCTTATAGGTGCATTTTCCTGAATTTACAAACCAAAACTCAAAAAAATAAAAATAAATAAATTGAATTACTTAAAGAGCAGAAACTGATAGCTGATGAGGAAGAATTACATTTAAGTGTTTAACACACAGCTAAATCGATTTTATTTTTAAAAAGATCACAAATCCGGAAAAAATTTATCTTACTACAAATTTAGCTCATACCCAGGGTACATGAGGAAAGAGAAAAGCCCAGAAAGAACAGTTTAACCCTGTGAATTACAGTAAACTTTCCATCTAAAAACCGAGAAACTGAGAATAAGAGAAAGCTGAAATGTTTCAATATAAAATCAATTGAAAAGACACACAATTTAAGAGGTAACAAGCAGGCAAAGAATCTAAAAGACCAAATCGAAATACAAGAGCATTGTTCTAACAACCATTTCCCACTTCGATCCAAGAGCTAAACCATCCGATCCATTGACAAAATCTCAAATTCCGAACTTACAATCCCCCGAAACATCAAAATCCAACGGGAATAAAACCCTGCCAATGTGACTACTATATATATTCCATGCATCTCTATATACAATCAACTATATGCATACATATCAAACAGACCAGAAGTACAAAAGAGAGACTTACCTTTTAGAGAAAAATGAGATGATGGGAAAAAAGAACATTGTGGGTTCTGCTTCCGAACCACTTTTTCCCTAAAAAGTTCGAAAATTCGAATGCGAACTTCGATCAATTTGTGGGGTTTCTGAAATTCAAATTTTCTTTTGGAAAAAAATAAATAAAAGCAAACCACAAATGATTGGGATTGATTAATGAACAGAAAGAAAAATGATAAAATATAATTAAAAATATGTTGCAAATTTTTTTTTCTAATAAAACCTCTGGTACGGAAATCTAGAGAGAGAACGGGGGTCGGGGGTGTTATAGGGAAGGTTGAGTTGTATATAAAGCCCTGCTTGGTACACATTAAAATTTTCATCATCATTTTTCTACTCATTTTCAATCACATATTTTTCAATAAAATAATATTTTTCATTACATCAATAACGTTTTCTTCTTTTTCAACCACATATTCTCCATCACATAAAAAAATGCATTCTTAGAGAAAAAAATGTGTGTCAAACAGGGGTTAAATTAATCAAATACATTTAATTAATAATTTTTATACAATAAGTTCCAGTTCTCATTCTTCTACTCATTTTTAATCACACATTTTTCAATAAAATAATATTTTTTATCACATCAATAATTTTTCCTTCCTTTTCAATCACACATTCTCAACCAATCTACTATTTCATAATACATTCTTCCAAAATAATGTGGCTCAAACACACCCATAGTTGTCTCTATTATGTGGGCAGTGATGTGGCGGTGGCCGTGGTGCTTTGTTCGCAAAGGCTGGTAGTTTTCACGTGTGGTGACACTGCATGAGAGTGTGGATATGCCGTTTTATGAAAATTATTTTAAATAATTTTATTCAATGTCGCTGAATCTAACATACACTGATATGAAACATGTTGGTGCTAAAATATTAGAGTTGACTTTGAAACACGTCGATGCCACCACACTAGAGTTGGCTTCCGATAGTTCATCATTCAATGTTGAAAATAAATCAAAATTGCTTTTTGATGGTTGTATATTCAACTCTTGTTAATCACACAATTTGTATTAGTGTTGTTTCCTTGCAGCTAACTTTGGAACACGAATGGTAGATAGGATCCTAATTTCAAATTACGTAAAAAAGAGTGAAACCCTAATAGTGGCTATAAAATTGGACTAAATGAAGATCAATTAAATCATTGGTAGTAAATGAATGTATTTGACTCGAAAAGGATGAATAATACTTTTTTTAGGAAAAAAAAAAAGTGAAAGACTCCACTTGCATGAATGCACTTGATGTTTTCAAAATTCAAATGTGGAAAAAATAGTGTGTGATTGAAGTGTTTAGGCTTGATTTGATGAGCTATTCATATGTAAATAATATATATGTAAGTATCGATGAGTCGCTTAAGTTTAATAAAAAAAGTATCGATGAGTCGCTTAAGTTTAATAAAAAGATTGATGAAGTGCATGCAAATAGGGACTACCCAGAATATCGATAAGTAATGATGAAGGATTAGAAAAATCAATGCTAGAATATCATCCAATATATCCATAAATTTTCGGTCACTCGTGATTGGGAGAATTCAGATTTTCTATAGTTTGGTGCACTTATTCAAGATTTTATTGAGTTTAAGGTCCCGTTCGGTAGGGATTAAAATTCAATTAAAATTGAAAATATGGCCGTTATTGGATCCCACTCGTCTAATAAAAGTCAACAATAACGGATTTTTTTCAATTTTAATCTGATTTTAATCCCTACCGAAAGGGCCAAATAACTTTAGGTTGACTCCGTACCAAGTGGAACTCCTAAATGTATAGAAATGGCTTTAATACCTAAGTAGAAATTTAAAATAGTGAGATGATTATTGAGGAAATGACTTTTGAGTATTGAAGAAGATGGCAACAAATGGAAACTTTCACGTGGTTACCTAATATGACTTATTTAGAGCACTAGGTGGTGATAGTGGGGGGAAGCGGTTGGAATGTTCGTTGTGAGTCTACCGAGGATTTTCTCCCAAGTGCCTGAGAGTGGCAGAGGAGAGAAGACTCATTTTTTTGGATGAGCTTACCTAGACTTGTTCTTCTCATAAAAACTCTCTTAAGGTTTCAAATAGAATTTCTCCTCTTTTCCTACAACTCAGGGAGAAGCTAAAGCACCTCATCGCTCGACTTAAAGTGGTGACAGAAGAGGGTTACATGTATATAATTAATCTGAGACGACGAAATTGAAAAGCATAAACACAATAAAGGATTGATACAAACATGAATACAGTCAACTCTTTTTCCTCACCAACTAGAATCTATAATATATTAAACCCCTGTTTGGGCTTCATTAATTTCAAGATACATTTTTATCTTTCTTCTTTTCAACAACGCATTCTCCAATAAAATAATATTATACGTAAATCTTAAATTTTTCATCATTTTCAACCAAACGTTCTTCAAAAAATCACTATTACAAAACACGTTTTTTTCTCAAAATCTAATTATAACAAGGCATAAATAGGGGCTACATATTACATCAAGGTAAGAATCGTTTTTTTAATGATTTTAGCCATCCTACAATTCAATTATTTCAATAATACATTACTTTTCGTTTTTAATATATATTTAATTTATTTATCCATTTGTATCATGAATTATATTGTCAACTATTTAGTCATCATCAATGCATATTTGACAAATTCATTTCACTTGTACGCTTTCATCACATGAAATCTAATTACAAACTGTAATAAATACTACAAAATTCTTGTTCCTGTATGAATTTTCTATTATTAATTCTCAATTAATTAACATTCGCATTCATTTAATTAATATTCATCTTTCATTTATGTAGTTTAGAATTATTAATTCTAATTATAAGTTAATTAAAATTTCATATTCAATAATGCATTTCATTATTCATGTCCATGTGATTTAGCATTCATTGTTATGTATATATTCCATTGTATTAATTCCAAATTAATTAACATTCACGTTAATTTATTTATTGTATTTACTTTAACCATTTGAACAATATTTCATAAATTATTTTATCAATTATTTAGTTATCATCGATGTACATTTGACATATTCATTCACCACATAAGACTTAATTACAAACTATAATGAATACCACAAAATCTTTATTCATGCATGCATTCCCTGTTATTAAGTATCAATTAATTGACAATAAGATTCACCTTCATTTAATTAATATTCATATTCAAATATTACTTTTACAACACTTATAAAGTATTTCAGAATAACGTGCGACGCACGTTCAATTCCGACAAGTACAAATAAAAATCATTATATGTATTGGGATTATTTAGCTTCATCTGAACCTCCCTTGTTTCATTAATATATGCTAAACACACCTTACTTCTGCCTCTTGTATATCTTTCCCAAGAAGGACTTCAACACAGCCTGAACTGCTTTGATCGGATGAGCTTCAATCGAGCTCGTTATTCTCTCATAACTCTTGTTCTCATACTCCAAAAACACGCCCTTAAGATCAATATGATTATAAAGTGCTTTAACTTTTGCTACATCAGCAGCATCTGTCTTGCCATAATGCTCCTGGTAATAAAAATGCAGATGTTAATACATATTTTCGTCCCATATGAAGAACGAACAGATTGTTAGAATACAATAAACTTGCTTCTTACGATCAGAATTTTCGTTTGTTCTTCATTGCAAAGTTCCAGGGCTTTTACAACGAGCCATGAACATTTGAAATCTTCAATATCCGTTCCAATCTGATGAGGAAGAACTAATAGCAATCACGATATTGAAATTTTAAGAATATTTCGATGTTAGAAATGGAAAATGCAGGAATTCACCTTTCCGATGTTTTCAGGATCTCCGAAGCAATCTAAGTAATCGTCCTAAATAAATAGAAAATAAGTTACACTAAGGATAGGAAACTAAAAGTCCGTCAGTAAGATTTTGGACCGAAAATCTCAAAAAGTAACTTTTCCAAAACATCAAACACATTCAGTAAAGAAGTTGCTTAAAAGTAAATTTCAAGCTTAGCAACTTACTTGTACTTGAAAGTAAATCCCCATGTCGATGAGTATGTTCTTGACAACAACATGGTTGTCTAAGTTCTCACCAGCCATAAGCAATGCACAGGCAACCTGTGTAAATATCAGGAATTAGACATTGTCTCAATTCAGTAACATGATTTTCATCACGACATGGATTAGTAGAATGACAGATTCGTCACTCACCGGAAGGTAAAACGAGTAGTAGGCTGTCTTATACTGAACAATGCGCCGATGACTGCAATAATTCAAGCAATTCAATTAATTTATCAGTAACTACAAGAAATTTTGGGTATTGATTAATGCTGAAACACATTGCATGATTTCGAACTGCATAAACACACGAGAATTTACAAATTCTCGGACTCACAGTTGCAACGAGTATTTTGATAGTTCTTTTTCCCCTTCAAGAGTTGTAATCAAATCAATCATCTGTCCCGAAGCTGTTTGGAACTCGACCTAAAAACAAATCAAATTTAGCATATCTAAAGTAAACATGAAAAATGATTAATCAGGGTCCTCAGTTGTCAGTATACCTCGTTGAACAAATCTATTAGATCCACATAATAAGGCTTTTCCCTGAAATGCTTCTTGAGAATTCGAGCAATGTGGTTCCGAAGTATGATTCCACCGTTTAAAGCAATTAGACCGACCTAAAACATGAAAATCAGTCAAGAATATACACTTTTGGTGACAAATCCGGATAGAAATTTGAGAGAATTCACATTCAGCACGAACCTTGGGCAATCGAAACCAACAGGGTTGACCACGTCTCGTATGACAACCATCCACAATATCATCGTGGACTAGAAAAAATGCCTGAAGCTGCAATTTTATGGAAAAATGTAGCTTAGATCCTGCTGCAGAAAAACAGCCAAACCGGAAGCATTTTCTGCAACTAAAAAGAAGTCATCTTAAACCACTTTCGACCTACCCATTCAATACACCAGCCTAGAGCGCTAGAAAGAAAAACTTCATCCTCGGTTAGCTCTTTGCCTTCTTTTAGCAACTTGTAGCTATCAATAACAGACATTCCTCGGTTTAACTTTCCTGGAAATAACGACAAATTCTCGCAATTATTAGCATGGAATGCTGAACACGTTTGGTATGCAATAGTGCACTAGATACGACCGAATGGTACAACAAATACTTTAGATTCTTTTTTATTTCTTAATAAAGTCATGTATTAATGACTCATAACTAACCTCCAGGTACATTGTAGTCCAACATCTGCCACAAATACATAAAAAATCACATCAGAAACTACGATAAAGTAGAATAATCAATAATAGCATTGCATACACAATGAGCATGCATTATTCATACTTAATAGATAAGTACAACACCATCGACAAACTAGTAGTGTGTCTGGTAGAGATTAAAATTGAAAAACTAGTCGTTATTGTTGACTTTTATTAGACGAGTGGGACCCGATAACGACTATATTTTCAATTTTAATTAGATTTTAATTTATCCCAAACAAGCACTAGGTCCTTTTCCCATTAATATTGGGTCGAGTACAAGAATCCTTTTCTACAACTCCATCTGGTTCATCTCGAAAGTTAATCCCTACACTATCCAATATAAGGGATCAACAGTTGTACATATTATTAACTCAAAAACTTAGCTCACCCCAAAATCCATGTCATCTCTAAATTTTAACCTACGAGTTCTAGTTCCACCTCATAGGTGAAATGAAAATGTTGCTTTTTAATATTTTATTTGAGTACTGCTATTAATCGTTATGATAATTGAACATTAGTGATATGGCAACTCATCATCCTTCACATTTCTCTCCCTCTCCTCCCCTTTCTCTCGTCAAAATTGAAGTGTTCAATCTCATTACTCTACGTAGACTGTCACATCGTCGATGTTAAATAGCATTTTCTATTTTATTTTGGGACAAGGAGCCTTCATTCTTCTAGTAAAACAAGGATAACTAAGCTCCTTAATTACAGATTAATTTATAAAAAAAGGTGGGTTGTTAACTCGTTACGAGTCCCCTGATCTGAAACAGCATGTTCGACCGGTGCAACCAGAAAAACCAAGAAGTAGTCTGTTATAGTCTATAAATTGCTGTCAAACACTATAGAGGGTTGAAACACGTTAAACCAGCCGGTTCAGCCTGATCGACCATGGATATTAACTAGACAAAACACAATTTGGAGACAACAAGAGTTTGAAGGTAAAACTCACCCGTTCGACCCATTGATGAGAATCATCACTCCATTCAAAAGCAGTGTCATTCAGGAGCTCAGATTTCAGCACGGAGTACACACTCGAGAATGACGATAACAGATCCTGCGAGGTCGTTTCATTCTGGTTTTCCATTGATTCTGTTTCTACAAAACAAAAATCAGACAGCAAAAGGGAGAGAGTTGAGCCTGAAATCAATAATGTGGCATGTGCTTTAAACTGCTTCCCTTCTGTTTTTTATACTCTGTTCTCAGTTAGAAAGTGCAAAATTGAAATGCTTTGTTAGATAATTTATAGATGATTATATTGACACCATAATTTTTATTTGATACGTCACATTTTAATTGCAGTTAAACTTCTCGATCTTTTCTTAACTTTTTCCCTTCGAATTTTTATCTTCAACCTTCCATTAATTAGTATGTCTCATTCTTAATGATGATTTATATCAAAATATTTTATTTTCATATTTGAAATGAGAAAAAATAATTTTCGCACTTTTTATTTTTATTTTTTTTTAAATATAATGAGGAAATACGTTGTTTTACGTCATTTAAAAATGGACTTTTGGATATAACATTGTTATCAACTATAAGATGTGTCAGTTAATAGAAAATTTGAGAATAAGAATGACATGAAAATCGTTAGGAATATAAGTGTTATAATGTACAAAGATAATGAAAAAAATTAAATGTAAAAATTAAAAATCGTAATGACAATATAATCACCCTAATTTATATGGATAAATTTATATGTACATAATGGATTACATAGGCTCATTTGAAAGAAATCCGGCCGTGAATGTAAAGTGTGGAAAAGTAAAAAATTGTAGACTACTGATGGATGCGCGCCACATATCAATTATGTAATGTATTATGTAAATGATTATGTACTTGTAGCATAGTCCAATTTATATTTGGTCAAATTTGATGGCTTTTTAAAAATGGGCAAATTATTTGAACAAATTACCTGGTTGATGTTGTCTTTTCTTGTTTCATTACTAAAATTTTGACAATTCGTTACAATTTAGAAGTGTCGGAATTTTATTGGTCTCGAAATTCATTGAGATAGTCAAATAATCAATCTGAATGCCGATTTTAAGTTGATATAACTGATAAGTGGCCGAATATTCCCAACAACCCCCGCCCCACTATGGTTCTTTATATTTTAGGTTTCAAGTATTTTCAACGATTTGCTTTTGAGAAAAATATTTGCAGTATTATTACCAACTTAGTTTTCGACTAGCAAGTTGGTTCCAACTTTTACAAAAGAGCAAATTGTACCT